CAACACAACGAAAATGGAATTCAACACAACCATATAGGCGAATCCGGGCTGGAAAAACTCGAATCTTGTGCTACTTCCCCAACGTGTTTTAACACGTTTATTATCTGGATTGGATGATGATTGTTCTATTTTAACATAATCCATATAGAATGGTAAAGAAGCTGGTATTCGAACAGACAATCTAAATATTTTTTTAAAAAAATCAGTAATAAAAAGCAAAAATTTTCATTCGGAACTTACTTGTCAAATAATTCGCGAACTTCTTTGATGGGTTTTGTTTGATTAACCCATTGTAAATATTTCAATTTGAAGATGAGGTTTTTACTTTAACATCTGGATTTTTACAAGCACGTAAAAATTCTTTTTTTACTGCTTTAGAATCAGTAGATTCTTCAATTGATAATGATAGACGATTGACGAAGACGTTGAACACAAAATTCAAGATACAAATTCCATCAATGGGGGGAAAAACTCATTCGGGTATTCCTTGCAATTCCGATCCATTTCTAGCCATTCGAATTTTATGTTTCTATCATGGTCATTTAAACCATGATTTAAATCTTTATTTTTTTTTAATATTCAATATTCATACAAACATAAACAATAAAAACAAACAGGAATTTATAAATTCATAAGCGAGTCATCAATTTCAATAGAAAAAAAAAGTTTTTTTTCATTACTAATAGCGTTTTGACACTGTTGATGAGCAACAAAGAAAAATCACAGGCCCACAATAATTTATTTTGTTATTAATCAAGCAAGCAGAATATTAAGAATGAGAATTTTCCTTTTGTACATTCGTTAAATCAATATGAACATGAAAACTAAATATTAAATGATTGGTCGATTTCGTTTTTATTTGGTTAGATTATAAAAAACAAACCGTGTTTTGTTTTACTGATACGTTATTTTTAGTTATAAAAGAAAATAGAAGAAGTTTAAGATCGATTAAAACCAGGAGGATGAATTGTGTAAGGTTGATACCGGGCAGAGACAGAAGGGCCTGTTGCTGCTGGTGTGATTTTTCCTGTAGGATTGTTTGTTGTTGATCTAGTAGCTACACCTGCACGATAAAGAAGAGAAACAAAAAGCAAAGAAAGCAGTGAGATATTAAATAACAATAATTATAAACATCGGTTTAGAGATATGATTTTTATGGTTGTCAGTCAATTCTATAGCATTTACAAACAGAAAAGAAATCATATAAATAAATAAAATGTCCTTGATTTTCAAAAAAGAGACAATAGGAATTAAGCGTTTTATTGGTTCATGCCTTTCTTTGTTTTCATCATCGATGAATCAGTGATATTAACGAGCCTAGAAGAATAGAGAATGGTTTCTGTTCTGTATCGAAACTATCTGTCTATCACTAGAAGCATGTCACCTGCTGTTATTTCCCATTAATTTATAATTAAATATGCAGAATAATTTAGTTGTGTGATTTCGTTAGAAAGTGATTAAACAAAAAAAAACCAAGAAAGCAAAGTTGTTTTTTCATGTTTTTTCTTATGATAGTGAGATTATAGATATTAACATAGAGTTAAGGAGTACAGATCAGTAGTTCTTTTTTGCTTTTAATAAAATGTATGATAGCAATAACAGCAAGTGCATGATGCTGTTCAATAGAAAATTTAGTGAATTATGTTTGATACCTGTTGATTGTGTTGTCGTGAGAAAAGGAAATGCTGCAACAAAATACAAAAAAAAAAAGAATTCAAATGAAACAAAACGAAAAATATTCACGCACCAGTTTGATTTGTATATTCAAATAAATGTGTACCATTACTTAGTAGACCTCCCATTTGGTCTAATGTTTGTAACGGTGCAAATAATTGAACGAAATTTGAATCATTATTTTGTAAAAGTGAATTTTGTTGAATTGTCGTTAACGTTGGCTGTGTTTCTGTTGTAGTAAAAAATGTTGGTGTTCCATTTGATTGCATGTGTGTTGTAAGAAAATTTTGTTGTATACGTGGCGTGAGAATTAATGGAGCACCGATGGGCATTTGATTATTTTGAAATGGAAATTTTTTTAAAAATAAATTTGGTTCACGATAGGTTCCATTAATAATAGCTAATTCTGTTAGTTGCTTCTTTTTTAAATAATCTTCACCTTCAGCCTTGAAGAGAAGTAAATTTTGTTGAGAACTAGAAAAGCAAACTACCTTCACTTACAGTTGGTTTTAATAGTTTGCTGATTTCGTCTTTAGCTTGTTCTAATTTAGCTAGTGCACGATTTTCATAATCTTCACATTGAATTAATACATGAAGATCTTCATTTAGATGTTCCCAATTCGGTTTGCCACGATTTTCATTTTCCTATTTCGCAGAATATTTGTTTATGTAAAACAATATTTTCTATTTTATTTTACCTTTTGTTTATCTCTCATCGAGCCACGACCACGGACCATTATTTTACAACTTGTATCCGTTTCAAGTTGTTTTGCTGTCATTCCTCTTGGACCCAAAATACGGCCAACGAAATTAAACTGAAATCAAGAAAAAATAAAATTACATAATAGATTAAACAAAAATCTCCCATTGAAACAAGGGAAAACTGTATGAACTTAGCGAATAATCATGCATATATTCATGATAATCAATTAGAGACTAGAAGAATGTTTTTTTTTTGTTATTATGATAATATTCCAAATAATAAAAAAAGAAAGTAGAATTAGTTGATTGATTTGTGATTGGCTTGTATTTTTTTGTCATGTGCAAAAGTGTATCATAAGTAAAGAAAATGGATGTGATCGTACATGTATGTGCAGCGATTTGTTTTTCAATTGAAAAAGAAAAAAAAAGTTGTTTCGACTCAAATTGTTAGAGATTACCGTTTGTTTATATTTATCGACGTACTAGTGACTCTAGAGTAGAAAAATGTTCAAACTCTAGCGAATAGAAATTGAAATAATATACTCTAAAAACTTATTAGCAAAGAACACTGAACAGGAAGTAACTGTATTTGCAAATAAAAAGTAACAATTACACGATCGGCCGAATTTTTTCTTTTATCAAAAATCTTCACTTACTTCAGGAAATTCGTGGACTGGAATAAAAATTTTCTCTTGAAAAATTTTCTTTTCTCCCTGAGGTTCAGGCAATGAGATTTTAGGATGAGAATTTGCATTGAATAGATCCAATCGAACGGTGTTTATTTCTAAAAGATTTTTTTATATTCAAAGAAAAATACATTAGTATGCTGAGCGAAGAAGCCTATATTTTGATATTCACCTTGATCAAGTAAACGATCGATATGAATAAACATACTGGGCACGGCAGCAAGTTGTCTTTTATCTTTAAGTAATTGTGATAAATATTCTAATTTATCTGTTACATTGAAATCAGTATCAATATTTGGCGATGATCTACAAATAGGAAGTCGATCGTTGGACTTTTCCCTCCTCTATATTGCTAAAATTACGTACGATGTGACTGAAGCTAAATCCAATGAATTAGATATTTGGTCGGCTTCGCCATTATGATGAATCGTTAAAAATTGTCCAGATGTCGACGACATAAGTGTAGTAGATTACGTTTGATTTTTATTTATATTCGTACATGTGCACGCGTATGTGTAATAAACTATTGTTCGTCACACGGATGATTGAATGAGACTGAATCAGGTAAAGAAAGCAATATAAGTAACGAAAGAAAAAATCCGTCAAATCCGTGCTTGAAACAGAACAAACGAAATCGTTTGGTCGATTGTCATTGATTTTGTTTATAATGCATAGAATAAGTTAACAAAATGTTGAGAAAAGAAATAAAAAAAACGTCTGATCGATAATAACGTATCGATACAATAAATTATTATATTATGCTGATCTTAAATCTACCGTCGCGGTGTATAACAAATTTTTTTTTGTCTTCCTTTCAGTTTTCAGTCACACCTTGTCCTTCTTTTGTCAAACATGCATATGTACAGCCGTCAAGACAACGACGAAGACGACGACGCCTACAATTACCTTCAATAGCTTTCTTTTTTTTTTCGTTTCTACACTAAGACACATCAATATTCGAATGCGTTTTTGTATAGTCGAATGAAAAAAAGAAAGGTTCGCACCTTTAGTTTATGGCAATTAAATTCAATTTTCTTTTTCGTACTTTTATTGTAATACATGCTGTCCTCGTATCTAAATTGCATTAATATGGCATGTTTTTCCATGGTTCATGCGAGTTCTTTCTAATAAAACAAAAATTTCGAACTCATCGACAAGCACTCGTCTATTGTTCTATTATTTTGACTAAAAGACGGAATAAATGAAATCATGCAATGGTGCATACTTAAACTTCGTAAAAAAAAGTACTTTGAAAAAGTTGTTATATATGCAACAGAAACGAATAGGCATTCATAATAGAAATTTGTAATACAACTATTCATTTCACAACAACAACAACAACAGGTTAATATTTTGTTGAAGAACATTTGAGAGAAACAAGACAGATAACTCGATTTTTCACTTCTTGAAAACTGGAGATGACGATAGATCGAATCGTATATTACAGATATTGTAAGCTAATCTTTTGGAAAAACTATTCTACTAATAGATCTCAATAAATTTCCGTTATTTTACAAAGAAAAAAAAGATTCATGCTATGTTTTTCAGTATCGGACATTGGTTTGAAAATGTAAAGAGTACTTATAACTTTTAAATGATATAGGGAAAATACTCGTTCATGTTTTTCTTTTTTTCAATTTGATATCAATGATCATTTTCAGTACCAACAATGTCAATATCAAACAATTCGATAAAAAATATTTAAAAAGTAAATATTTGCTATTGACATAGACTTTACTTTCAGATTCAAGTGTTCGTTTTCAACAATGAGTAACCAAGAAATATCAGAAAAAGATGATAGATTTAAGTTAATGGAATTGGGTATACCATATAATGTAACTCACATGAAATCCGGTAACACATTATGCTCAGATGATAGTCTAGTAATTCTTCAAAATGGTGCAACAACATTAGAAATTCGTACACCACCAAAATTTGAAGCAAAACAAATTCCATGGCACGATGGATTAATTCGAGATATTGTTTGGAGTTCAGAACTAAAAGTATTCGTTCTTTTAACAAAAAAGTCTCTGTTTACATTTGATTCAAAAACGACCGACTGTGCTGCAGGAACAGCTCATGATGATTCACAATTAAAAATAAAGGCATATTCGAATGTTAAACCATACAATGATAAGGCTTTATTTTGGCGATGTGCATGTGTTGACACAAAATTATTCATTAGCTATTCGGGTAAACAAATTTGAATAAAAGTCTCTTATATCATTGTTGGTAAGAAGTGTTGATACTGTAAATCGTTTTGCATTTCTATTGAAATTTCATGTGAATATTCTAAGAGAAATAGCTAACTAGAGATTAGAAAAGAACACTAGTCCAATCAGCAAAATTTTTATTTTATTTAGCTATTTAAACTTTTATTTCTTATTAATTAGGCAGCAGCACCGTTATTGATGAATATATCTTAGGACCATCGTCATGTACAATTGTTAATCGTTACGAGCCACCACAAACCTGCGCTTATAATGAAGGTATTTGGTGTATACGTACTCATCCCAATACAAAACAAATAGGTATGACGGTAATGAATTCAAATAATAATACATGGCGTTTTGAAATCCGTGATCCAACCAACCTTGCTCATATATGGCAAACACCCTTGCCTATTCCACATGGTGATGGTGAAGTAACACCATTACCAAATGGTGATTGGCTTATTGTGAATTCGTGTGGAGCACGTTTTATTCAAATATCTAATCTTGCTATTAAACTAGCTGTTGAATACGAACGTGAATTAAAAAATGCTATTTTATTTAGAAAAAAATATTTTATTATTCGCACAAAAAATACGCTCGAAATTCATTTAATGAAGAAAGAACATGATTAGACAGATCGTTTTGCTATTTCATATTCCCGTCATTTTATGCTAAAATTTTGTACATATTGATATGAAATAAACACGAAACAGTGTGATGATATACTTAACATTAAATCAATCAGAAATATATGAAGAAGTGAGTAGTTGTATCTCTTTTAGAACTGCATGGCATGATGCTATCGATATCATTGTTGGGAGGGGGAGGGAGCGACGAGAAGAATTACGCTAACTATTCGTACAAGGCATTCGTTTATTTTTTTCATCAACATTCAATTCAATACATGTCAAAGAGAGATTTGCTCGTATGCGCAGTCTTCGTCCAAATGAATAGTTGCTAGTACTGGCGGGTTTTCTTTCTGTTGGACTCATTCATTTAGTATTTGTGTAAGAAGAATGTGAAGATAAAATTCTATATGGTTTAGCACTGAAGAATTGTCAGTCAAAAAACCTATGATATAGTTCGGCGCTTTGATACAAATGGAACCTTGCTGAAGCATGTCTTGAAGGTGTATTATTTAAAATTAACATGGAATATGATGGAGTGAAATTTTTATTTTTTCCTACGACAAGAACTCTCTATGGGTCTTGAAAAAGAAAACTAAAGAATCAGAAATTTCAATAGGAGTGCCCAATATACGATGATAAATAAATTCATCAAAATATCAATAGACAAAACCATAAGACAATGAGTCCATATCTAAGCAGTCACATAAAATATAGTTATTTGTATGCTACGTTAATTAGTCATATTGTAGCGTATATACAACGTCAGACAAAATTATAGAACCCCCTTGCAGATGCAGACAAAAACGTTTCTTTCATGTCCGTGATAAACGATATTGATTTGCTAATGATATCAGTACATGGGACCGTCCACGCGCTACCTACTTCCGCCATCTCTCCCTTTCATTTCTTGTTATTGGAATAAATAGCTTGAGAAATCGGAAAAATGACTGTAGCAGAATTATAGAGCCACCTTGTGCAAAAGCGGTTTTATCTACTTTTACTATTTTGTTGTGATGCTTACTTCTTTTTGATCTATTCCTATTAGAACCATAGTTGAAATGATTTGATTCGATAACACTACTAAATTGAGTACAATTTTAACTTATAAAGAGCAGATCAAACTGTACTCAAAGTCTACAAAAACCGGTACGAAGCATAGCTTCTCGGAAAAATTAGTCCAATACACGAAACGCTGACTGATTGGCACAGCGAACTGAGAATGGTCTCAATGAACGTAATTCCATCAAAATAACACAAGCAAATACAAAGTAGAAATTTCATACGCCCTTGATGTTAGTGGCATCGTACCTTTTTGGAAAGTTTAGCGAGACCCATCCAGAACGTTTGCTAAAGAATCGGTAACAAATTTTCTTAAACTCCCCATATTTAACTGGTTGTGGTGATCAGTCAATATTTCGTGTATTGAACTAATTTTTCCGAGAAGCTTTCCTTCGTACCGGTTTTTGTAGACTTTGAGTACAGTTTGATCTGCTCTTTATAAGTTAAAATTGTACTCAATTTAGTAGTAAGCATCACAACAAAATACTAAAAGTGAAGGTTTAGTACACTGTACAAGTAGATAAAACCGCTTTTGCACAAGGTGGCTCTACAATTGTGCTACAGTCATTTTTCAGATTCTTCAAGCTATTTATTCCAATAGCAAGAAATAAAAGGGAGAGATGGCGGGAGTAGGTAGCGCGTGGATGGTCCCATGTACTGATATCATTAGCAAATCAATATCGTTTATCACGGACATAAAAGAAATGTTTTTGTCAGCATCTGCAACGGGGTCCTATAATATTTTCTAGCCTAGTATAATAGGTTTAAAGAAATTTGGAAAAGTAATAAATTGTTATTGTGTGTGCAAATATTTTTCTATGGAAAAACAATTACTACTCATCATAATACAGATGGCACTGCATAGGTCAACACTATTATCGTTGGTTTTTTTGTATTTAAAAATAAATCTAGAACAATCCATCAAGAAATAGCAACTATTGTTTAAAAGAATATTGTAAAAAATGTCCATGTCAAGTCGCATAGATTCAATAGAATTACATCCATCATATACAAGTCATATTTATAAAAATATCATCGCATCAATGAACATCTCTACAACAATCAATAGATATTTCTCAATTTATATATTATGTACTTTTCTGTACATGAACTTTCTCACATAGTCAATATGTATATTACAAAAAGTAAACAACAACAACAATTTAATATAAGACTAGCGACAGAATCGTTCTAAGCAAATGGTGGTAATATTGCACCGGTTTGTTGATGATGAATTGTTGAATTTTCTACATTAAAATAATAATTACCATATGATACCGGTGGACGTGAACTATGATAATTTGTTTTGAAATTATTTCCATTAGTAAAATAATTTGATTGTTTTAGAGTATAGTTGGCTGCCATGTCATATATGTCTGATGTTGGAGATGATGAATAATTATTAAGTTGATTTTGAAATGATGACGTTGTAGGAAATGCTACCGGCATAGATGCGGGTGGTGGTGGTGGTTGATAATAATTATTATGATGATGGTGATATGAAAGAAGAGATAAATCATCTTTTTCAGTGGTTGAACTAGCCAATGGTGAAGTATTTAGATTAGCATTGCATCCATTTATGTATGATGTGCGACTTTTGCCATCTTTTTTATCTTTCATTCGACGATTTTGAAACCATATCTAAAGCCAATCGAGAAAGAAAAAACGATATTTAAAATTTAGTTATTATTGATCTGAATTTCTTACCTTGATCTACAAAATTGAAAGCAAGAAGAGAAAAAAAGTTAGGAAAATATTAGAAAATTCTTTTCTTTTGTCTTTTATCTTTACCTGTCGTTCAGTTAAACAAAGCGTTCCAGCCAGTTCAATGCGTCGCGCACGATTCAAATATTTACTATAGAGAAATTCTTTTTCAAGTTCAACCAATTGAGCACTTGTATACGCTGTTCGAGCTCGTTTCGATGATGTCGAATTGCATTTATCTATGAAAACAAATTCCATCATAGTCTATCAATAGAAACAACAAGCCGATGATAAGCTTCAATGTTTTATATTCTCTAAGAAGACGACAGCACGATATTCGATGAATAATGATATACTCATTTATCATTGTCATGCGAATTCATACATACGTCTGTCAGTAGACATAAAGATGAAAAGCATGCATCAGTAGAAACATACGATTACAATATTCGAGGAATAAATTAATTTATCCTTGTTTCTTTTTGTTTTTTCTTGCTAAATATGTGTCGAATAGAGCGCACACTTCTACGCTTTTATTTTTCGCTCGGTCCACGAATTATTCTCACCTATCCTATACGAACGACGTAGCGTTAATTTAAAAAGCAAAATCATTCATCCTTGAAGTTTTGGATTATTTAACACTTGGTATTCGCAATATTTACACTCAATTAAAAAATTTATTCTCATTATTTAACATCGAAAAATTCAATTGAATTAATAATCATTATATCCTCTGACGTAACTTGAATTCTCCTAATCCTTTTTATACATACCAGAAGACGATGAAGTTGCAGAATTCGAATTAATAGTAGGATTTCTTGAATTATGTGTATTTTTATTATTTCCATGTTTTTTTTCATTCATCCATGGATATATTTCTTTAGAATTGGATGAACTTGTTGAATTAAAATCAGTTAGTGGTAATGATGAACTTTTTCCCGATGCTAATGATGATCCAATTTGTGATGTATCTATTGAAGATATTTGATGTTTATTATGAATGATTGAATTAACATTTGCATAAGTATTAGTGGGTGCATCCAAATAATAGTCGACTTGTTGTTGATGAGATGCTTCCCATGGTAATGGATAGTGATGTTCAGTTTTTACCATAATATATGTATTTATTCTTTGGAATGTAATAATAGAAATTTTATTGATCAATCGAATAAGTAATGAGTCCGGTTTCTTTCTCTTTCTGGTTGCTTTATACTAAAACGGCAAAAGTATAATATTATGGATGAGTTATTTCTTTTCTTGTTCTATTCTCTCTCCCTCTCTCTCTCTCTCTCTCTCTCTGTCGCTCTCTTTCTCATTCGCGAAAAAAACAATATCGATAATAGCCAATAAAATAACAGATAAAAAGAAGCAAAGAAGCTGTCATATCATTCATATGCGTTAACAAATCAAGTATCAAACAAATTTTTTATACAAAACCCTGAAGCTGTCTCAATACAAAAAAAAGGAGAAAGATTTTTTGTTTCTTCAATGGTGATTGACGATGAGGGTGTTTCTAACTCGCCAATTTTGATTTATAGCATTCGACAGCACATATACATATATATATATAGATGTTCTTTTCTTTGTATGTACCTGCATATATATATATATGTATAGATATAATTACCTTATTTCGCTTTTTTTTCGACCAACCATAGGCTACGCATGATCAAAATGCATTTATTATCGTTGACAGAAGTTGTTATTACCTCCGTGTATACATAAAAAAAAAAAGAAAACGAAAAGGTAAAACGTCAGTATGTTCTTTCTCATTTCATTGTCACCTTTCTATATTAGATTGTATTGTGAACGAAAAAAGTTTTTTCTATGAGAAATTCACCTTGAACTTGTGAAAACTCTTTCGTTTTATTAAAAGCAAAAAATATTGAAAATCTTTATTGCTGCTCAATAAAAATCAATTCTTTTTTGGTTTCTATTAGGCGGGCCTTCTAAATCTGCAGTTAAGAATTTCTTACACAGAAAGCGGCAGTCATGCGGAATTTTAATAAATATTTGCTAAGAAAAAACAAGGTGGTGCACATTATTCATTTGTCAAAAGAAGATGAATGATACTAATCTTGAGAGAGAGATAAAACTAATATTTCTTCTGTAGTTAGATTATATCGGATGTCCGGGTGATATCATTTGCAGTCAACTATACATGTTAAAGAATTGCATTAGATAATCTGAAGTATTTACTTATCTTTAACTAAGAACTAAGTGTGTTGAAAGAATCGATGGTTTCAGACATATTTCATTTGATAGAAATTAGACTTTTTCTGTTGACACTACTGATGGAAAACAACAAAATCTGGATCAATGAAAATCTTATAATTGCTGCCAAGAATTTTAAAGAGAAATTAAATTGCTCCATCTTATCATCTAGTAGAACATAAACGAAGAACTATTGAGAATACAAAGGCAAAGATGAAATGCATAGTTTTCATCAAAAGAGTGATTTAATAATGTTCAAGTTTGAGAAATTCAACGATATTTCAATCATCTGAGACAAACTCTTCTAAGATTTCTATTAGTATCGACTGAGGACTCTCTCTCTCTCTCTCTCTCTGATAAAGATTGATATATTTCATAACCAATCGAGTAGAACTATACACTTTCATCACTATTATGATGATTTCTTTGAAATGAGTTTAATAAGATTGATCGAATAGAACATATCGCAATAGTTGTTCATCGAATAACATTATTTATTTCAATCGAAGCGGCATAAGATCCGCCTTTACTCAATGAAGCGTAGAATGTTGTGAAGTCATTTTCTTTTCGCGACTGAATAATAACACCTAAAAACGAAAGATCAAATCTATTTGACTCACATTCTTTATTCTGACAATCTCACGCAGTGTCATGTTGATGCAACACAATTATAGAGAGAAGGAGAGAGGTATCGACCGACTCAATCGATCACAAAACAAAAAAAAGCGAGATATAACAATAATAACCAATAGGCAAAGTTTTCATCTCCGAGAATAAGACTTTATTTTTAAGTTCTTTTATCAAAAATAGCAAATAAATTTCTTCAATCGAGACGAAACTAAATGAATAATGATCTTTTAATGAGGCACAGATATCATGTTGATTGAACATAAAGAAAAAGGGAACAATTTTGTATATCAAGATTTCAAATGACAACATAAGTTGTTATCATTTTCTTAGTTATCTTCAGTAGCAGCATGGCTCATCGATCTTTTCTTAACACAAAAACAATTAAAAGAACATTGCAAAAAAAAAGAAACAACAATCCTCATAAAAATGAAGAAAGATAAAAATCAATGCTACTCTCTCTCTCTGCCTCGGAAGAGAAGCTATTAATCAAATCGACTTCGTTAGTTTACCATTTTAAACCGCTATGATCTTGGTCGATCAACAGATTTTACGCCGAAGAATTTTACAAGCATGTACAAGACATCGCGATAGAAGCATTTTTTTCTATAGAGATTTTTGTCAATTAAATTATCACCTATTTGATTATAAAGATGCCATGATGAGATAAAGAATAAAATAATTGTTAAGTGAACCATCAGCAATGAGCAAGTTTGTTTTTTGAAAAGATATCACAAATTTATAGACAAACGAATCAATAAACGAAATATAGCCTAATTTGTTGTTCACTCAATCATATCCTCATGAAAAAAGCAAACTTCAAAACAGAACACAAAGCTATGCCATAGGTTGAGATCAGAGACAATATAAATGTGTTCATCTTGATTGAGAAGAATACTACAATCAATGTGTATAACTTGTCCGCATTGCTTTTATTATGTGTTATTTTCAACACATATGTCGGGTGTTTTTGAAAATAGTCATTTATGATCGAATGTTTATTGATTCAATGTATAAATTTTATCATTATTATACATTAATACAAGGCTTACACGAGCTTTTAATTATTCTAGTGAATATTTGTTAAAACTTCACTCTATTTCATTAACTCTATAATTTTAAAAAAATTCCTGTTTAAAATTAGAAAATAACAAAACGCTCTTATGTCCTTCCTGTTGCTTCCTAAGTTTACAATAAGTCAGTCGCTGACTGCATACGTAACTGATCATAAAGTAATCGAAATGTACCAACTCGGATACTTATAATTAATGAATTAATATGTCGCGCAAGGATTTTTTTCTTTATGCATTTTAGAAATAACCTATAACTTTAAGAAGATAAAAACAAATTAAAAATTGTTTGGTTTCCCCCTCCCCTCTCTGTTGTACTCGCGGATTGATGAATGCGTCAATGGAATGTCCTAGTTTATTTCTAAGAAAATGAAATTTTAATATACATATCAACAATAATTGGCAGAATGTCGTTTCGCTTATAGATTATTTATTCAGCTATGCTTATCATAGTTTTCATATAAACAAATTTTTGTGAATGTAATCATGTTGTATATAGATAGATTTGACAGCTACTTTTGTTGAAGATTCTATTATGTATATATATGTACTTTTGAATCGAATAATTCACTTGAACAACTAAAATTATTCGGCATTTGACCTCTACCGTTTTGGGAGATCAAGAAAACAAAAAAAGACGCTATTTGAAACTGATCTCTATAAGATTTCTGATCATCGGTCAGTTTTATCTAAGAGCGAAATGATTTTATCGAACGAAATTTGATACAAATGTGTTTACCAAAACAAAAATACTACCTTGAAGTCTGTGTCAATACTACGCACATGAATAAGAACGAAGAAAACATTAAAATCACTAAACTGATTGCTTAGACGATTTATTGATAGGAATCAATGCAAAAACAAGCGCTGTATACATGATTTATTTCTAATGGATTTCATACACATGACGAATCGTATCTACTCAAACCATAAAATCAAGCCTTGAGGATAACATAAGTTGATTTCTAAATGAAAGATCTTATGTAAATATTAAAAAAAGCAAGTTTATGATATTTTTCTTGGATAAAATCAAGAAATATACCTGAGACTTGAAAATCTATTGCCTTATTATCATATATTATTTAATTTGATTGTATGTCAAACTATTCAATAAGTTGAATTTAAAACGTAAACAAGGTTTTATTGCTTGTCGCATGTAATCTAACTCATCGAACCTGGGTAGACTTATAGATAGATCATTAAAGGAACTTCAAAAACAGCGAGAAAACACTAAGAAAAAAGGTTTGTAGAGGTCTATTGGCGTGGACGGTGTCCTCTCTAGCATCGAATTCACACCCCTGTGTACTCGTTAGATTTACGCCCAACAACAGTCAACTTTAAAGCGCAGGCTTCGCATACAAAATACATTTTTAGTCAGCAAAATATTTATTTGAAGTAATGCTAACATGAAGTTCAAAGACAAATCTCATGCATTCGTTCATTGTTGGAAGAGATGAGAAACGTCAAGAGTATGAAACGGTTTCCAGAGAGCCAAATAGGTGATAAGCATGTAGAAAATTACATAGCCAAGTCCAGTGAACATTAAAATAATTGCAAATGCCAATTGAGCTTGCATTATTCGGTATTTTGTCCTAAAGCTTGCAAATATGTCCGCTACGCTTCCAACTGAAGTATTACTGCTTGCAGAATAGGCATTGCTATTTGTTGAAACAAAATTACCGACAATGCCTATGAGAATAAAAGTGAACACAAGAAGCAGTATTTGAGCAATAAAAACTCCCGTAGCCCAAAACCGTGATCGATCCCATTTCTTTACTAAAATAAACCAGTTCAATCGATATTCATCTTATGCTATTTGCCTTTTTAAAGTATTTAGTTTAGATGTAACTACTAACCCAGCAGAATAGTTAAAATGGCCGCTGGTATGAATGAAAGGGAACACCAGATACCAGCACCTGTCGCTTGATAGTTATAGACAGCCAATGATGCTATTTCCAGAATGAATATAAGTAATGTTAGCACTACTTGAGCAATACCAAGAATAAGCACAGGCATTGTAGAAAATTTTGACCGCCAACTCGTTTCATAATCTATGTTCGAACGAGCAGAAATTGCTGCCCTTGAATTAACCTATATTTCAATGTAGAAGTTTACACTTGAGTTATATCTTTTAGCATAATCATATTTTCAAAATGGATACTTTCCAAAGGTTCTTTTGAAATTGCTTTCTTTGTCAGTACGGTAAGAAAAGTTTGCTAAACAATTATTAAATTTATTCTACTCACTGATGGTGCCATTGTGATTCGATCTTGTGAAATTCTATCTAAAATTGGGTTCGCAAGGAATCGCTGAATAATTCAGGGAAAATAGTGAGAGCTTAGAGAAGACCATGGCACGTTTTTAACTTTCAATTCACTCGTATACTTACCATTTGTTTCTTAGTTTTGATCGGTCATAACTTGAATCATGATCAAAACCAATATGAAGTGAAAAAATGACTATTGGATATGCAGAAATACTTTCTTTTTTTGTGTATTACTTCTGCCTGCCTAATTCGTATTTATTTTTGGGCTTGTTTGTTAAGGTAGACCAAGCGAAAATATGCACCAAGTAAATACAACTTTCCTGTATCAACACTTGAGGATATATATATATGTCGGAGTTGACTCTAAAATCCAGTTGCCTTTTAAAGGCAACTAGTCGACTTTAAAATGTATAATCATAAAGTTGTTATTGATATGATAAAGAGTATTTTATTCAATAGATGAGATTGAGGGTGTGGGAGTGGGTCTGGGTGTCGGTGTGAGTCTGGGTGTGGGTATGGTTTTGAGTCTTGCCCACGCCCACACCCACACTCCACCCTTTTTCATATGTTTCAGTTGTTATCAAGTACTTCGCTTGTCATTTAGTATCTAACTCATTCAACTAAGCATCTAGTTTTGAGTAGAAAGCCGCCTTCATTATTAAATGAAATGATGGTTTGATAGTAAATAAATAATTCTTTGTTAACTTCAGATCGAAAAGTTTCCATCAGTTAAACAAATTCATTATCGATTAGTGCAGAAAAACTTTATGATTATACATTTTAAAGTCAACTGACTCCATCCAGTTGATTTTAAAGTCAACTAGTTGACTCTTCAATTTTAAAGACAACTAGTTGCCTTTAAAATGCAACTGGATTTTAGAGTCAACTCCGACATATATATAAATACTCGTCATGTGTTCTGATGAGTGTTCGTACGATTCTTTCTTAAGAGATTTACTCTGAGGTAGCTATATGAGTACCTGATTTATTCTTCACTCATGCTCATTTTCTTCATTGACTATAACTAAAAGAGAAGAATCAATCAAATCGAATTTTTCTCATATAAAATATTTTACTTTCTTCGCTAATGATAATCTTGGATACGTCCATGTTGTTTGCCTCATAATATATGAAGTAAATGTCAAATCTGGAGATCTCATTTTCGTCTTGTGCTTCCTTGAACTCCTTCGTGATATTGCAATTATGAAATAAAAAATGGTGTAGTAAAATTGTGCTCACAAAAAATATACTCTTGAGTATTTTTGCATCAGCTAACAGTGTCAACATCGAGAGCGCAATAATCACGACGAGGTGTGTATCGAGCTTGAGTGTTGTGTGCGAATATGAATCCTCACTTCACGCTGACTTTCAAACCTAGTCGCATCTGTCCATGAAGCTTATTTCCTTTATCCAGATAATAATGGACGACAACACCGACGAAGATTGTCGTTACTGTTTTATCGATCAGTTTCCCCCCCATTAATGATGCATATGAATGAGTTGAAAAGAATGAAACATAAACTGATCAAGAAAACAAAGATAATAAAAATGAATGATTGTAATAAATCTTGAGTGTAACGAAAGAACACATAAGCGTTTTATCTATTTGACCCTACCGAGATAGATCATGAAATGTCATGACAGAATTAGATAAATATGCTCACGTCGTACAGATGAGTGATATAAAAAAAATTATGTTCTTAGCAACATCGAAAATCATTTGTTTTCTGTTTCGATAACAAAGCAACGATTTATGAAAGAAGACGTTTCATACAACTAGTAAAACTGTTCAGTTGATATTTTATAGTATATTTTTGTTATTTTAAAATATATAGAGTAGATGATGAAAAGTAGAAATAAAAAAATGAAAAGAATCGCTGTATATATCAAACAGAGATTAGCCTAAGACTTCAGATCGAAAATAATTCTGTAGGAAGTTTGATGAATATGTATCTCATCGAAATTTTCGATTCCTAATCTCAGAGAGTGTTTTTAGTAGTTTGTAGGCACAATAACACGCTACGCTTTGTTTAAAAAACAGTTTTCATACAATACAACTTCGTATGATCATTGTATTTTGTTCTAGAAACATAATCAACTTAATTCTGGACAGCATTGGAATTTATTTGGATACGAATGTTTTTTAAAAACAACATATTTCTAATATATTGAATAAAAATTTAAGAAAAATAAACAAAATTAAATGAGTATAAAATCATTTGAATCATTATATTTGTTTTCGTACGTTTCGCATGTTTGTTTCAATATTGAGAATATCTTCAAATGAAAATAATTCAGCTAACGTTTTTCTATTTATTCTTTAGTCATATCAAATATTCTTGTCATAAATAGAATATTCAAATTCTTTCAATTATTTGAAGTGCGTATATAACCTACAACAGCCTGTGAATACCGGCGCATGACTTTAAGCAGCTGTTGCAATAAAATTGCTGTACTACAACTACGTGCCAAGGACGATCATGAAACAAGCCATTCTTTTCAGAAGAACGCAAGAAAACGCATCTTTGATGGAACAAAAGACGCAATGTATGAAACATACACGCATGTATATATATAGTGTTCTGTTTTCTCAGAAAGATGTGCAGCGATTTTGATCAGTACAGATTGGATATTCTTACATAAGCTATTAATATTTCTTGATGAATTTTTCTACAACGCATGGATAATTGTTAGTTATAACTCTAGTTAAAACATGTTTTGATTATTAAAAGTTAACAATAAAAGATAGAAAATTTATTACGATACCACCTGATGTCATTTACGCAAAGAAAACAATCATTAACTAGCTGGTTTATTTGATTTATGCGCATATGAAACCTGAAAAAATCGACATGTTTTAGAAAGAAAAAGACAATGAGCATAGATTAATAATATTTAAGCATTGTTCTTTTAATCTGCTTTGTTTGTTGTAGACTCACTGCACGTTAAAATATCGCAAATAAATTAATACACAATACTAAATGATATGCATTAATAATTATGATTCTTTGTTTTAGTTTCTATAAAAAAACATACAACTAGAATGAGCTTCAATTGAATAATGAAAATATGCGTGACAGCGATTTTTATATCGTGCAGAATACACATAAGCCAGAAACAGAAATTACATAAGAATGCAATGCATCCCGTTTTTCTTTCTTTCATTGCGTCATTTTCCCCTTGTGTGTATTTGCATTTATTTGGCTTATAACAGAACTGAATCACTGTTCTCGAAATAGCCAGCGAAGTATTTCTTTTTTAAATTAACTTTTATAGAGAAACTCGAAATCAATTATGAGTTACTTTTTCTATAAGAAAATTCAACAGCAAACATCTTGAAAATTCGTGTTGAATGCTATTATACTCTCAAAGTATTTTTTTTCTTTTTTTTAAGATGATGGCATTGAAAAAAATTGCTGAGATGCAAGCATATTTTAAGTTTTCATTACAAATTTAGATCAAACAAGTAAAAAAAATCTTTTTTTTATCGATTATTTTTACTTTTTATAAAAGAAAATCGTGACGAAGAAAAATAAAAGTGTTAGTTACACAGAATAAGAGATTAACAAATACTTGCTGCTCCAAGCATAATTTGTCTGTTTCCGATAGTTTTTTTTCTAGTTATATATTTGAAATCGACGCCTTCATAATGTATATATTTGTAAGTCTTCCAATGCATAAATACATGCTATTAGTCCATTATTGGAGATATTCAGTATATCAACAGTGCAGTAGTCGATTTTAGCTTTTACAAATGATTCATTCTCATATATATAAATTTTGAAGATAAATTTGCAACTGACGATGTTCAATTGGCTTATATTAACAAAGAACAGCTTAGGATTGATGTACATATATATGTATATATTGGATCGGTACTTTATCGTTCTTGACTAAATACATTACAGTGACAGATCCAAGGTCTAACATTCGCCTCAAGATAATTGTTTCATTTTCTAGATGATCAGAATCTTTAAGCATGTCTAATCAATATAATTCGCCAACGAAGACGGATGATGAGTCAGATGAAATGGCTCGGTCGACTAGTGCGGTTCGTTTTCAAATAGAAAAGGTTTCTGATGATGATCAAAATTCACAAAAATTATTATGTGATACAACAATTCTTCCAACGAGTAAGTTACTTCACTAGAATTTATTTCAAAATATCTCATATATTTTTGAAGATTTTTCATCGTCAAGTCCAAGTGTATCAAAAAAAAGAGTTTTACTTGGAGATGATGCCTGCGCACATAATAGCACTATATCAGATATAAATCAAACAATTGTCATTAATAATACAAATCAAGAAACATACACTTACGATACCATAGATACATTACCGCATATTGATCATTATAGAAATTTATTTTCATTGACATTATCTGAACCGAAAACTCGACCGACACTTGAAGAATTACATGGAACTGCTAGTATTCCATCAAAATATAAACTAGCATCAACTATTGATTTAAATGGTGAAATGCTTAGTTCAGTAGCAATACCCAACGAGTCGCCAGCACAAACTGAAGTAAAACAAAAAATTGATATTGTTAAATTTGGATGGATTATCGGAGTTCTTGTATGAATCTTTTTCGTTTAAATTAAAGCAGCATATTTGGTTTTCATTGATTTATTCATATTTTAGGTTCGTTGTGTACTGAATATATTTGGTGTTATGCTATTTCTTCGACTATCTTGGGTTACAGGTCAAGCTGGAATAGGTTTAGCATGTGTCATTGTATTGATTTCAACGGTAGTGACTGTTGTAACATCTTTATCAATGAGTGCTATTTGTACTAATGGCGAAGTTAAAGGTGGTGGAACGTATTATCTTATTTCTCGTAGTCTTGGACCAGAGTTCGGTGGTGCTATTGGTTTGATTTTTTCATTCGTTAGTAAGTATAAAATAGAGGGTTTTCTTTTTAAGTTCTAATAACTTCTATCAACAGATGCAGTTGCTGCAGCTATGTATACAATCGGTTTTGCTGAGACAGTTCGTGATATTCTTAAAGTAAGAAACAAGACGAAAATAAATAGATTGTTTATCTTAATACGAGAAAAATTTAGGAACATGGTGTTAAAATATTCGGAACTGTTGTAGACGGAGAGTCTGTCAATGTTGTAAGAATCATCGGTATGAATTTGAGATTTTTTTCTTCTGCTTTATAGTAGAAAGAAAACTGTAAATTTAGGCTTCATTACAATGACAATTATTTTGGGTATTGCTCTCATTGGCATGCGTGGTGAAACTATTGTACAAATAGTATTGCTTGTTACATTGTCTGCATCATTGTTGGACTTCTTTATTGGATCTTTATTACCAACTACACCTTATAAACGACGACATGGTTTTGAAGGCTATTCATGTAAAATAGATTGACTCATCAAATAGATCTCTACTTTTATAGTTTAAACATTTAGGGAAGGTGATTAAAGAAAATTTTGGACCAAGATTTCAAAATGGTGAAACATTTCAAAGTGTCTTTGGTGTTTTTTTTCCATCTGTAACGGGAATTCTTGCTGGTGCAAATATTTCCGGAAATTTAAAAGTAAATCAAATTTAAAAACAGACAAAGTAACAATATCTAAACTTATTTTAGAATCCATCGAAAGCTATACCACTAGGTACAAACACCGCCATAGCAATTACCACATCTGTTTATCTTGCTTTTTGTATTATATCGGGTTGTACAACTTACCGTGACGTTACTTGTATGTATTTTGATCTTAAATTAAAAAAGAAAATATGTTGAATCTATGATTTCAGTGGATTTTTATGAACGTCGAAATGAAAGTGTAATACAAATCGTTAATTGCTCATTACATATGGATGATAGAAACTGTAAATCAGGCTTAATTTACAACTATCAAACAATGACAATGATATCTGCATTCGGTCCGATTATAACAGGTTTGTAGAATCTACCAAGATTTTTTAGCGAAGTTCACTTTCCTGTAGTGTGATGAAAGCTTTGTCTCTAAATGATTCAGATTTTCGTAATTTCTATCAATGGTTATAAATATAAAGATGGAATGGAGTCTTAACTCTCAGAATACAAAATCTTAAACAATGTTCGTCTAAGAATTTCTCATTCAATGTTAATTCTTTTTGTATTTTCTCGTAGCTGGGATATTTGCTGCAACACTATCAAGTGCTTTAGGTAAGACGATAAAATCATGTTTCTTTCTTCTTTATCATTTTATTGAATTGAATATTTTTTTAGCAAGTCTTGTGAGTGCACCAAAAATCTTTCAAGCTGTCTGTCGTGACATGATATTTCCTCGTTTGAAATATTTTTCTGTTGGTAATGGAAAATCAGATGAACCAATACGAGCTTATTTCCTCACATATTTTGTTGCTGTTGCATTTACTGCTATCGGTAAAAGAATCTAGTATTTTATTTGAAAAGTTTTATCTATTCGTTTTTTCTTATAGGCGAATTAAATAGAATTGCACCAATAATTTCAAATTTCTTTCTTATGACTTATGCATTAGTTAACTATGCATGTTTCGATGCATCATTAGCAAAAGCGAGTGGATGGAGACCAGCTTTTCGCTATTTTAATAAATGGTTAGCATTAGTTGGAGCATTACTTTGTGTTGGAGTGATGTTTATTATTAATTGGTAAAATTTTTAAATTGAAATATAATTAACGAATATTAGTTTTTCTTCTTTTTTTCTTGTTGTTAAGGTGGGCAGCTTTAACAACATTTGTTGTTAGTAGTGGTATATTTCTCTATGTACGAACAACAAAACCAGGTAGAGATTATTTATGAAGAAAAATAATTTGTTTGAAAAAAATACTTTTAGAAATTAATTGGGGTTCATCTGTTCAAGCTCATACCTATCGACGAGCACTTGATGCAACGCATAAATTAGATACTATACAAGAGCACGTGAAGAATTTTCGACCGCAAATGTTAGTTTTAACTGGAAATCCAATGTATCGTCCAGCACTAGTTGATTTTTGTTCATTAGTTACTCATGGTCATAGTTTAATGATTTGTGGTAATGTTAGTTTGGTAAGTGAAAAACAAATGAGAGAAATGTTTTCACTTTGAAGATTAAATTTTTGATATAATCTATATTTAAGAATGATCCAACAGTCAATATTCAATTCGATCAAAAAGATGAAGGTGAAACGTGGTTAAAAAAACGTGCAGCAAAAGCATTTTATCAGCCAATTGTTGCGCCGACCGTTCGACAAGGAGCAATAGCATTATTGCAAGTATGTACTTCAAGTCTATCGTCTATTTCATTTTATTAACACCATGAGCTATAATTAGTAGAACAATAAAACTTTTAATTATCATCACTTCGGTTCACTCAAATGCCCAAATTTGTTGTATTGGAACCATCACTAAGTACTGAATGCCTATTAACTATGTTCTTCACAGAATAAAAATAGTCCATTGAATATTATTATAAGTCTGAAAAAGAACACCTAGCTTTTTATGAATACATTAGTTAAAATTCTAGTGTTTGCAACGTTTCATTAAACTCATTTTAATCTTACCTAAAAACAACTTTCTTTCAAAGACTGAAAAAAACATTCGCATGACTAAATTTTACTATAAACCATACATTTTATTTAAAGACTACTGTCATTTGTTGTCATCTATCATCACTAGTGTACATCAACCAGCAGATAATAATTAAAAAACTGAAAATCTATCTTAGAAGTCTCATCATTTTTATCCCACGAAAGTTTTAATAACAATTTTAAATCAAAAACCTTTGCATTTCTTATTATAGTGTGTTGGTGTAGGTAAAATACGCCCGAATGTAGTTGTTTTTGGTTTTAAAAATGATTGGCTGATTAAAGCAGATGTAGCTATCGATTATTTTAATATAATTCATGATGCGCTCCATCTTAAATATGGCATTGGAATTTTAAGACTACAATCCGGACTCGATTTTAGTGACTTTTTCGGACCAGGTATGAAAAACTGTTTTTTTTCAACACTGTTTTTATTCGGGATTTCTTTTTAACAGATTTGCCTGATGATGATGATGATGACGATGATGAAGCAGATGCCGTATCCTTCGGCTTTAGCCCAGTACGTACATCAAAGTCTCCAGCTAATAACAATGGACGACGTCCAACCGATGTTTTAACACTAAAAAATACGATTATTAACGAAGGTGCTTTATTAACCATGAATATTTTTCAACCGAAGCATGATTCATCATCTATTATCGATGTTTGGTGGCTATTTGATGATGGCGGTTTAACACTCCTATTACCCTATTTATTACGGCGTCGAAAACGTTGGCGTAATAGTCAATTTCGAATCTTTTCATGTGTGCCAGGTGAAAAAGGTGACGCTGAACGTCAATATGTTGCAATGGTATCATTGTTATCTAAATTTCGAATTAAATATACTGATCTACATGTTTTACATGGTCTTAATAAACAGCCCAATGAGAATGAAACACAAAAATTCGAACAACTCTTACAAGCATGGCATCAAAATAATGAAAATACAACGATAGCCGATGATTCATGGAGAATCACAGATACAGAATTAGAAGTTAATAAAGAAAAAATTAAGCGAGGTCTTAATTTACATGAATATTTAGTAGAATATAGTTCACAATCATCATTAATTATTGTGTAAGTCATCTTTTATCATAAAAAAAACTAAAGCGACTGATAATTTTATACGTCTATTTGCATTGCGGTCAGCAAAGCGATGAGTCTACTATCAGATTTAAGTACCATAGGAGAACGATGAATATTTAAATTGAAATATCGAATACGAACTTTTTCCTAACAATGATTTTGAGATATGAAAAATCCTACACAGGGAATTTATCATGTTTGAAAGATTCGATACATCAAAAAATGATTTCATCTTAATATCTATCTAATTTTTTCTTTTTCTTTTAGTACATTACCAATTCCACGAAAACAGTCAATATCAGCTGGTCTTTATCTTGCATACTTAGAAGCGATCAGCTACAATTTACCTCCATTATTATTCTTACGTGGCAATCAAAAAAATGTTCTTACATATTATTCGTAATTTATTTTTAACGCTAAGACACTTTTAGTCTTTCCGGTGATTTGTTTTCGTACCTTCCCGCCCTCTATTTGTTTTATATGCATTGTAAAAAAAGACGGATGATAATAAAAAAAACCAACTCCCAAAAGAAAGAAATAATCTTTGAATTACTTTATATGCTAATTTTCCTGATAATTTTTTTTTTACAAATGTGTCACAATACAATATAAAAGAAAGAAAAATGAATCGAGAGATCATTGTTGTTGTAAACTGGAAAGATGATTAAGAATTTTAGCATTTCCTGTTGCATCAAGCCATGCTTCAAAATTTGATACAACAAAACGTTGAAAACGTTGACGTTGTTCAGGATTTAATTGTGCCGCTGTTATTTCATTAGCCAATGATGAAATTGATTTTTGTCGTTTATCAATAGCTGATTGATATTCTGATGGAAGTGGAATTAAACCATCCTAAAGATAGAGAAATAAAATGCTTCATTTTATCGATTATAAAATTCTAAGCTACTGTTTGTTGATCTTCTAATCGAATTGAACTAATTGGATAGAAATCATCCGGTGGAAGAAGTGACCAAGGTTGTTCATCAACATAACCAGCTGGATGTGTAACCAATGGTTTATTCCATAGGTTAAGTTCTTTGCAAAGGCCAACACGTTCCATTTGCTCAGGCAATTCAATATGCGACGCATTGTATGGTGCAAAGAGTAAACTTGCACAATTTAATTGTATTAATGGTCGTGTTGGCGTATGAATATAAAATGATGATGACCGACATTGACTAAAAACAAAGACGTTCAATTGCAATAGTTGCTCACGAAATTCATGTGGGATTAACATGAGAAACGCGACTTTGTCAATCAAATTTATTCGACATTTATAGATACTCGTTCGGAAAGTTCAACTTCGATACTTCAGCGATCGTGTTAAATTGTGTTTGAAAACAATTACCTTATGAGTAATCGACGGCATACAGCAGATATTGATACATTTTCGCAATCTGTAACTTTTAATGTTGTTTCAACAGCTCCAAGAACAATTGTTACATTATGACATTTACGAACTTCAACGCATCTATACGAAAGTATGTAAAGAAAAACAAATTTAAGTATTCGCTCAAATAGATTACCGTAATGGAGCAAGTATATAAATATATGAATAACTGCACCGATGAATACGAAATTCTGAATTAGTAATTTCAGTCGATTGCTAAAACAAAATATATTCGATCATTAGATAGATTTTCAAAATGAATGAAATATGGTATCGAACAAATATTTTAGTAATAAACACAAAAAAAAGGAATCGTACGCATGCGACTCCTACTGAGACATTCTTCGAGAAAGACCAAAACAATTTTGATGATAAGGAAGTAAAGTCTCAATTTTATGAATTTCCTTTGATCGAATCATAATACTCAAAACAGTTTACTGCAGTATTTTTTTATTTACACAAAATCTTTATTTTTTATTTTTTCCCAGTCAACACAGTCATGAAAACCTTGATAATCAAAACAACTTATTTTGCTTGACTGACTCACCTGATCACTTAATGACCGATTAATCATTGTCATCAATACAAATCGATGACTAAACGAAAACAAAAAACAAATTACCAGTATTATCTAGATCAAAATAAAATAAAATCCTCTTACGATTCATCTGCAAAATTCGCATTACACAGAACTCGGCCAGATCTTTGTTCGTGTGTTGGATCTAAATCAGTTTATATTCATAAAAATCTTAAGCTCAGAAGTGTAAAAACACTAACTGTTAAATGGCAATGGTAAAAGTGTTCCACGTTTCATTGTTTGTCCAACTTGAAATGGATTTGCAATAAGTGAACGACGTATTAAATTCGATAGATTTTTGAAAGGAACAACCGATTTATTCTGTAGAATAAAAACGATAAATTTTATTTTTCGTCTTAACAAATGATCGACATAAGGTATGCGGTATTGAAATCTGATTTTACTAAATCCTACAGGTAATTCACGTACAAGAATTTAAACCTGTAAGATTCTTTAAATATCTATCCTTTAGTCTGGAGACTCCGCGCTCAAATAAGAAAACAAATAATAATTCTTACCACGCCGATTTCATGTTGAATTGGTGCATTTTGAAGAATAACATGTAATGGAACAATTTTTCGAAGACTATCATGAAGAGTTCCTTCGAATATATAACTAAGAGCAGTAACTGCATCCATACTTAACGTGGCCGACTGAACATTTTCATGATTATTTGATTCTTAAATACGAAAAACAAAATAATTAACTTCATATTAGATTTTTTCGATTACCAGACGTTTCTGATACGATATTTAATAGATCATCTAAATGTGCTTGAAGAAATAATTGATGACTTTGTTCGTCATAAATCTAAAATAATAGTTTATGGATTTTTTGTTCTCGAGCAAACAATGAAATGCATACTCGATTTTTTCGAGCGTCTAAATCAGAATTTCGTTTACGACTTGGCCACCTAAAGTAATTAAATTCAAGAACATATTTAAAATAAATTAAACTAGCAACTCACTCGTCACGAGAAAGTGTTGATTTCAGATCAATTTGATGGAATGACTGAAGAAATAATAGAAGAATAAAAGCAAGACTATCAACTTTTCGCGAATCTTTTAGTCGCTCTATAAAAATGAAAAAAAAAGAAAATATTTCAACAAAAACATTCAATATTGTAATTCACCGATCTCAGCCGTAGTACTGGCTTTGGCCATTTGAATATCTGTTTGTATCCGACGTTGAGCCGATGTATTTGTTAACATACTATATGTTTCAAAATACCTATAAAAATACGATGATGCTACTCATTCGATCAATCAATTGAAACTTACATCCATGCTAATTCTTCGGACATATGCAATTTAGAACAAGCAATATGTCGCCAAAGCATATAACTAACAAAAAGAAACGTTCTAGAAATCAAAAATCTTGATTAATAGAATAAACACTTACTTCATTTTTGGATAACCAGCAGTACTACTTTTTTTCATATATTTGACAATCGATTTTAAACTCTATAAAGAAAAAAAGAAAGTAAATTATCTACAGCATAGTTCATAAGTACTAGTAAGCAAGGAAATCATCCAAATTACATGGAAATGAGCTGTGGAATGGTAGGCATGGACCCTGGGTTTACTTGAAAATACCGTCTTTTTTTCGAAAGATACGTAAAATGATTCTAATTTTGGATAGGGATGAAAATTCAGTATTGTCTTGTGTCCCTTCCTTGTCGAGATCACTTACGGCAGGTGTAATATCAGGTGGTGGTGGTGTTGTCAAGGCACCAAATGTAAATACTTCAGCGCGACACCATATAGCCAGATGGTGTCGATTATCACTTGTATGCTGATTTTCAGACATCTGAAATTCAGTGAAAAATACATGGAAATCACAAATTTTACAAAAAGAATTAGAATAAAATATATTTTATTAAAAACTTTCGCCGGCTGTCACACGCTGTGCAGTGAACAAACCAGGCAAATAGTATTCTGTATTACGTCCATTATTATCAACCCACACCAGACCTTCTTTGATCATGAAATCAATAGCGGCTTTTATTCGATCATCTGACCATTTGAATTGCTCGCGTAATTGCTCAACCGTAAAACTCGAACGTGTTTGAAGTGAATTTAATATTGCTGTATGATCCATACTTAATTCACCTGGTATCGATTGTACAAGTACACGTCCTTGACCGTTCGTTGGCTCAATCACACTAAAACCATCGCCAAGTGCGCGCAATTTTTTAATCGCACGTAAAATATCATCATGTGAAACATCTTGTGCTGAACGAGATTTTCCACGAGCTTTCCGAAGACGTATTAGAAGTTCATCAAGCGAAATTAGGCCACCATTTTGTGCACTTGTTGCAACACATACTTCAACAATTTGTACAGCTAATTCATAATAGAAATCACCAACACCAAGAACTTGTGACCAAAAACCTTTACTTGCTGTAAAATAGAAACGCATTATTTTACGCAAAATTAAATGATCTTTGTACATGCAAGTGGATCAACACCAACAGTCGCACACATATCTTGAAATTGCCGCCGAAATGCAACATCTTTTTTTATTTCATTCTTGTGTTTCTCAGCAAATTTTTCCAAATTAGCACGAAATACTTCGAATTGTTGAGCAAGCTAAATTTAGAAATATAATGTAGAGATAACAAAAGTTTACTCCAGGTTTAGTATTCTTTCAACTCGTGTAGATTCATTAATCTAACACCTTCTCTTCAACTAATAATAGCTATATCACTGAGATAAAAGCAGCTAATTTACGCGTTTTCTGTACATCAACAAATCTTAGCCAGCATGCTATCAGATAAGTAATGCGATAGGAAAAAACGTCCCTGATTGTTCTCAATGATGACAGCCTACTTTTGCAAGGTTTAACTCGCAGACATTATGGTTTCTTTACTATCATCAATAATCTAAGATCAAGTTTGTCCTATGTGTTGATAGAAAACTAAAGACATGAGCTGTTCTTAGCTCATTTAGTTCTTCATGGCATCAATCGAAAAGCGAGTCTTACATGAGAGAATTATTTCGAAAAGTGTTAAACTAAAATACCTTTTCTAAATGATCACGTGCAAGTTCTGAACCTTTTTCATTGAACTTTGCCTAAAAGAGTATGAAGTAATGATTAAAATACTTCTAATAAAACTTCTCATACTTTTTGAAGCATTTGCTGCTGAATCGCGCCGATACCAACTCTTCGACTCATTATTCTACAATAGAAATAATATCAAGATACTAAAAATATTTTTCAGCAATGTTTATTAGAAATAAAGACGAACAATAGCGGTTTTGTATTTTTGTCTTTTTTTTACTGAATCGTAAACAACTCAGAGAAATAAAGACTTATTGATTTTATAGACATACAAAGAGAATCAGTTGCCTTAGCCTAAACATAGAAGAACAAAAAAACACTGTTTATTGTCTTGGAATTTACATATAAACAAAAAGAAAAAGAATTATGTGTGGCTTTAATTGTCAGATATTAAGTCTGACTTTTTTGTTGCTAATTGACTGCGACGTTCGTGTTCAAGAAATCGTCTAAACATACAAATTATATGTTTGTGTAAATCAAAGTCTTCAATTAAAGCCCGCTGATATCTACCTTCGCATATGTGCAATTAATAATTGCTTTCGACTAACTAATGAGAGTTGAGGATCTAATGGCCATGTGAAATTTTCACTATCATCATTATCGACTAATTCATCTGGTTGTGTTGTTCGCGGTAAATCAGATCTGAAAATATCATAGTAAGCAATATCTATTTTTTACTTATACGTTATACTTACAATACATCTGTATCAACTGATTCGCCAGCTTCTGAAGATGAAACTGATGATGCCGCCGATGATGACGATGTATATGAAGATTCTTCTGAGCCTGATGTATCATGTTGATTATGAGCTGGTTGGGGTTCAGTTTGAATACGATGGTCCATAATATTCTCAATAGTTGCATCAATTGACTGTGTTTGTTGTAAATCGGCAAGAATAATTTCATATGACACTTGTGGAAATATTTGTTGTATACTTTGCGCTGTACTTGTCAATTGTACATCAGTAAGACGTGCACGACCAAGACGAAATGGAAAATTATGATTGATTTCAATTGAAAAACTCGGTAACCAAGATGAATATCGACTGCCATCGAAACGAAACAAATGATTGCCTGGTGGACGTTGAACATTTGTATCAGGTAAGCCAAGTACATTTGGTGGACGGCGTGCAAGAATTAAAGATGGCCAAAGAAGAAAATTAGGTGTTGCCGGAGGTGCAATAGGAACATTAGGAGTTTGTTGTACGTTATCTTCTTGTAGAGATACACGACATATTGGACACGTTGTATCTTGTTCCAGCCAACTTCGTAAACAATTTTGATGAAATAAATGACCACCTGATGTAATAGAAATAAAGTATTCGTTCATTTTTTGTTTTTGCATTAATTACAATCAGAATATTTCTCTGTTTTTCAATATATGTTGAGATTTCCATTCGAATATTAGCGAATTTCGGGATGGAGTAGAAAATTTGTCTTTGAATAACTTCAACTCGTAATTATCATTCAATACTGAATTATATATATATATATATATATATATAAGATCAAAAGATTTTCCAATAAACGAAATCTCGATCTTGAACACTCACTAAAAATCTGTCTCCTTCGGTGTAAATAAGATACAGAATATTTTGTTAGCGTTAGATTTCCAGAAAACTAGTTTCGAAAGCGAATACATTACTATTTATACAGCGTATGATCTTAAACTAGCAATAAATCGATCCCCTTGGGTGCAGTTTTGTCGTAAACAACCAATAACAGCTGCTAAACAGTCTCAAAACCAATCATCCAGCAGCTGCTGACAATCGCCCTCATTTGATCCTGAAATGAATATCATTTACAGAAAAAACGTGAAATTACGTTTTGTAAATGAAATCATTCTTGTGTACTCAAAAACTGAGTGCACTCTAGATTCCGTCAGTGTGTCCGGTCGTTAACATGATAACTCTTGAAAGCCTCATCCAATTGTCTTGAAATTTTGCGCTCAGAATGATCCATCAATATCTTAGTCGAGTTCGAAGATGAGAAGGATCCGTCAAGAAATGGCTGATCAGGTCATCCTTGAGGAGGAGTGTACAGGGATTTTTTCAAAAAAAAACTTTTTTCTCAGAATTATTCAAAACATATATAAAGCGACTCAGTTTCTGCAGTACACGTAACAATCGGATGCGAATCCGATGTTTCCTCATTTATTCATATTATAAACTATCTGCGCAATGTCTACTTTACCTACGCACTACTGAAAATAACTATTTTTGTTTGATTTAAAAATTTATTGAAATATTCATGTCTTCTAAACTAAATTCATAAGATAAACATCTTATGAGTCTGCATCCTATTTCCCTGCATAGATTAAAGATTTCAACGGCGAGTTTCTGCAAAGATTTTGTTATCAGTTCCGTTGCGTGCTTTATTTACCCGACTATGAGACTTGCCATCAAAAAAGGAAACTATTTACTTTTCTATTTTTATACTCATAATCATTATTCTGAGTACTTTAATCCCTTACAGCAACAACAACAACAACAACAAAAAAACATCAATTAGTTGACGTATTCTATTTATCTTACATGGTAAACATCTTGCTTTTTCAAATTTTTCCCAACAAATCGAACAAACTTCATCTAAACTTGATACATGATTTTGTTTCATATATTTTTGTTCTAAATCATATTTCGTTAACAATGGATACTTCTTTTCCATTCGTATCATTGCATTACGATATGATTTATGTCGTTTTAAACGTTGTGTTAATTCATTAAATAATGGTTTAAGTTGCATAAAAAATATTAACGATGACATTGACATAAATGTTTGATGATAAAATAACATTTGTAAATTATGTATTATGTCAATAATTAAAGTAATTACATGATATAAAAATTCAATATAATAAATCATATAAGAACGATGTTCATTCGATGCTGATAATGGGTTTTGCTCTTGTTGTTCAAATATATGATATTGAAATGTGTATTTAAATAGAAGATAACATATATCGAGTATTAATAAAATTGTTTCAGCTAGCATAAAGAAAAATATTGATAAACCACCATATTTTAAACCAACAAGAAAACAAATTGTTAATAAAATTGAGGATATTGCAAGTAATGATATAAGTAAACAAAGAATTTTGACAAGTGGTCGGCGACGTATCGATGCCGAAACTGATAACTATTTAGCAGAAAAAAGAAATTTTTATTTCGAAGAAATACTAAAAGAATTTACCAGTTCAAAACGATCTTTCGATAATTGGCATAGAAGAAGTGCACAGGCTAAAAATGAAAACCACGATATCCATAATACAAGTTCATTCAGATTTTCTAAACCAAGTACACCGAATAGAAAACAAAATTTATAAAATGCATAATTCCAAAATTTTTCTTTTATTCGTTGTAATTCAACCAAACGTATTTCGCCAAAGACTAATTCTTGTACATATTTAACAAATAATCCAAATGAACAATATATCGCATTAACAAGTATCTAAATTACAGAAAATAATTTTTTTGTTTTTATTATAAAAAAAGAAATTATCTAGTTGTCCTACTAGAAGGGATAATGTTTGAGATATAAGTATGGATACAAGTGCTTGAATATATGCATATGAAAAAGGTTTCGCATCAGTAACAAATACTGTCCCATTGATATTTGTTTCATTCGTAAAATTTTTAACATTCACTTGAATTAAATGATGATAGTAGAGAATATTTGCAAATAATAAAGAAATACTAAGCAATGTATAATATTGAAGTGATGGTAATGGTAAACGGTGTAATAAATATCGGAGGCGTACAGGCATGGTTATACAATCTTTAATGAGAAAAATAATATATAAAATATATCCATAAATGATATTATCTAGGTTTAATAGCAATTATTTAACTTCGTATGAACATATTAATGTTGTTAATAACAATATGTTGAAAGAAAAACGCAAAACATGTGTAAGTAAAGAACAATAATCCAAAAAGTAAGACAATATTATTCTTTTTTTTTAACGTAAATAGGTAATACACAATCATGCAATAGAAAGAGGAGTAATGTATAGTGACTAACGAAAGATGTCGTATGAAGACGAGAATTACGGGTTGAGCTAAAATGTGACATCTGATAGAATAAATGAGAAAGATAATTTCATTTCTACGAATTGGTGCCGGTTCCGTTGGGACTTAAATCGAAACTGGTCCCGCCACATATTCTGATTAAGAACTATTCTATGAATTTTCATGCCATTACAACTCTTTGTAATTGCTATTTTTGATCGCTCGGGAATACTTTTGAGATTCGAAATTGAACCAAAGATCTTTTTTGCTAGTACTTAATCTGATACAATTTGAGTGATCCTTGAGTAAAAAAATCGGTTGAAAGTCATTCATTTAGAAGCTGTATTTGTGTAAAAATCGTGACTGCGAAAACAAAATCTCAACAACAAAAATAGATAATACAAGAAAATGTTAAGTAAGATAAAATATTGATTTTGTAGTTTCCTATTTATGATACATTCAAATAAAGATATTCTGATCTTTCTTATAAAATTTAGTTTTTCTAGAAGTGAAATCAAGACTATCAGCAAAAAAAATAAAACTAAACTAATAGCGAGACCATGATAAAAAAAACAGGGGTTTCGTAGTTCTTCACTCATCAGACTGAACAATACACTACTATACAAGACAGATATTCCAATTTAAAAATCTGAAAATCTTATATCTTACTTCTGGAACGTTAAGATTAGGTTTCCGAGAGTAAAAAACGAAGAATATGATCTAAACCTTTTCTTATTGCTATATATAGTTGTATCATTCCTATTATAACTATCAATAGATGAATCCTTTTTCATTCATCTTTTTCTTTCATGCGACCCTTTAATATTCTTTTTTGAATAATTACTTTTTCCACAGCTCACTTCCTTCTCGTATACAGTGGACGCGTTCATCTCCCTTCATTTTTTGTTTGAGAGATTTTTATTGGACTGTTGTAGCTATCTATTATTACGATTATAATTCAAATATAAGTATCAAAATATTCTCAGATAGTTTTAAATGAGATTCATAGAAAACACGAATCATTTTTGTCTTTATGTATGAAGATAACTTTCTAGAGGTTTTTGTTTATCTCATTATTCAATCTATTACATCTACTAAAACATTCTTTAAATATGTATATAGGTATATTTTTTTCAATGACAACGAATATGCATATTTATATATTGCACTTGTAAGAGAAAGGCGTATATATTTCTACTAAAAAAAAATACAACGTTTGATAAAATATTGCCGTGATTTCGGGTTAATGATTGATAATATTGAACTACAACATGAAATGTGCAAAATTTTTATTTTTCTAAAATTTCTCCAAAAACGTACGCTGATACAGTTTATAGTGAATTTTGATCATGGTTAGTTTTTCGAATGATATCTGAACTACTAAATATTGATAGAGATGGGTTTCATTGATTCATCTGGTGAAGACGGTGGCTCAGGTTTTGGTTCCAAAGTTCTTTTGGGATGCAATATAGTCCATGTCAGTAGTGCAATGGCGATGGGTGTGAATTGAAAAACGTAAAACCAAAATTCTTGGTCATTCGAGCCAACATAGTAAACGTCAACTGATGTAATTACCAGGTAGATAGAAACAAATAAACAACTGATACTGGAGATAATCAAAAGAATAATGGCTAATTTTGTCATATGTTTCATCGCTTTAGTCGCAAACCAAATCGGATAGAAGGCAACAGTCAAAATGAGAACCATAACAGATGATGCTTGTCGTAGTCGAAAACTTCTATCTCTTGTGTCGGCACTGTATGATGATGTGTTGGCTGGAGCCATAAGAATAGCTGATGTAACAGCGACTAGAACCGGTCCTATGGCAATAGCTCGAGTCATCCATTTTTTCAGGTTACCCACTTGTGTAAGAAAATCGTAATTTGCTATTATAATAGCGCGCATACCAATGACAATTAGGAATGATGTGGCTGTAAAGCCAGCTCTCGAGTTACGATTCTCAGTTGAAAGTGCTGCACGTAATACGAGATGAACGAAGACAGTCAGATGAGAAACGAGAAGCAGAATGAGAGGTCGACGTGGTGTAAAACGTATTTGAATTGATTGAAAAATCCATGCAATCATCGAAATACCGATGACAGCAGCAAGAATACCGCCAGCTGCTTTGCTCGATTCGTATGATGGATAGGGATAGTTTGATAGATCAACCATGAAGCTTTCTAGAAAGAAAAAAGAAATTAATACAATATGATATCTTAATTTCAGTACTCTCGGTATTTCAATGTTATTCTAATCGCAAAACTTGCAATTTTTGTTCCTGTTGTCCTTTTAAATCTCGATAGATTCTAATGATTCAAGTTGTAGATCGATAAGCTATTATAAAACATATTTATACAGCAATTCAATCTACTTGCCATCCTCGTTTAAGACACTGTTTTTTCTTTCTTGTCAAATCAAATCGGTTATGATAAGTGTGTCCTATCGTTGTGCGTTCCTGCATTACGATTTTCGAAAAGGTTTCTCTGCTCCATACGCTTCTCCTTTTTTTTTGCTTTTATTTATTTTTCTTTCCAAAGCGGCCTGATACTCCGCCAATGAATGTTGATGTAACTCACGAGTACTGAATTTTTTGATACTGCTAAAAACAAAGAAAAATTTGAAGAAAGCAAACGAAAGAACGAAAAAGACTACTAATATATTGCCGCGTGCCAAATACAACACGGTGAACTATAGTTTCTTTTTTAAGAACGGAGCAGCAGATCATTGTCATGCATATTGACTCAGCGAGTAGCATATATACATGTGTGGATTAGAATTATGTTACTAAGGTTAAAAGACTTACAAACGTGAATACGCATTTTTCAAACCACAACAAACTGAATTTTATCGTTTTCATGAGTCATGCTGATAAGGACATTGTTCTTCTAGGTAGTCGGGTACTCTTTTTAGATTACAGTATTGTTGTTTTAGCTTTTATTTAGCAGACACTAAAACAGAAAATAATCTTCAACAGTGACGAAACATTCATTTAATTACATGAATGATTAAATTATTTTCTTAATTTTATAAGAATATATGATTAGAAACAATACAAAAACGAATGATACCTAACGAGTTGAGTTCGATATAGATCTTCGTTAAATGTATGCAAAAAAAATTATATTTAATTTAAAAAACGTCTTCGAATTCAACCCCATATGTAAATATATCCCCTTTTTTTAGCTGTTTTACGAAATATGAAAATAAAATAAAAGTGTCAATTACACTACTGAGAGCAACATTCCAAATAGAAGACAATGTCTCCGATTGTATTAGCGGCGTGTCTTTTTTCCCATTTGCAATGAGAAGAATTAAAATAAACATTTTTTTGAAGTCTTCCGTGTTAGAAAAACAACGAGAAATATAGTTTTCTCCTTTCAAATCAGGATTAAAAGCCTGCGAAAGATAGATACTATAAAATTAAAGGTCAAATTGACAACTAATTAAATTACTTGATGGTCATCTCATCAGATTATAAAGAATAGACTACTATATAAAAAGCATGTTTAATGCTAAGGATTATATTTAACCTTAAATTCGAAAAATCAATGAAAATAAAATTCACGAAAGTAGTGCGAAAAAGAAATTCGAAAGATTCACTTATTATTTTAATTTTTCCAATAAACTTTTAGAAAAGTACACATTTCAAGAGCTAATTCATATATTGAAATACAGACTACAAGCAAATCTCAAAGTTCACTCGATGTCTAACTGTGCTAGGTAATAGAGATTGGTGGTTAGAGTAGGATTGATTCTGAATGTAGCAATCACAATATGTACACTATTAGAAAAGCACTTTAGCAAAAGAAAACCTGAGTATTTCCACCAAAATCTTCAGTTTTTGAAAAATAAAAGGAGTATAGGAAAACATCTTAGTATGTAGGCTATTACAGGATCCATTTAGAAAATACAAGAATATATAGGTCCACTACGAGGCAAGATTACAGTTGATAAAACACTAATGAATCAAAGAGATAATTAAATAATCAATTGAACTCTCGTTTTGTACTTAAAATTTAAACTAACACTGACAAACAGAACTAACGTTCAACATAGTCTTGGCAATATATTGCATCAAATCATTAACGCAAGAGCTATGTTTTCACCGATGAACTGTGAGCTAGATATTGACCGTATACGTTTATGCCAAGTCAATATGTCTAACAGCAAGAGATTAATGTAAGTGTCTGACGAGGTACCTCTGCTTGAGCTCACGTCTTGTTTGTAAGTAGAGATTAAAAGTTAGAGAACAAATTTTAAATGGTTATTGTTTTTAAAAAATTCTTCAGAAGTTAGAATATTTTGAAAGTTTGTATGATAGACTAATGTATTCTTTTTATAAAATATGCTATCTCCTAGCGAATGTATTGCTTTCAGTTGAAATTTTCAGGCGCGAACTTCGTAGCACTATTTATTTGGCGTAATATTCTTCAATATGATGAAGTTTAGTAAAATTAGCATAGCTAGAGAAGCACGAGTTTGAGTCACAAAGTCTTTTAGGACTTTATTCTAAACTATCACTGCTGTTTGTGTGCAAAGTATGAGATCAAACAGAGAGGATTAGTCGCGAAAAGTTTCTTCAGTAATAGAAATTTGACATGTGATCAAAACTTTTCTTACTCGAACCGTACGATACGGCCCGACCGTATCACTTTTATGTTTGTATTTGTCATTTTCACTAACCATATAGAAAATATTTACCTCCAAATCAAAGACGCAATTGAATAAAAACCTGATTTGAAAATTTATTTGAACTGAATTGATTATATAGAAGCGCGATCTTTTCGATAGCTTTTTTTCGAAGGTTTGTGAACAACGACGACGTCGTTGAACAATTGTTATTATTGAATGTATACCTAAGCTGTGCATATTGATCTCCTATATTGTACTGAAACGTGTAATACTCGATTTAAGATACCTGCCAAAAAGATGATCGCATTCTTTTATTTGACCTTGAAATATAATATTTTATTATTTAGACATTCAAAAAAATTGTTCTAAAGTTACATAATTATCAAGTAGTACCAATCAGAGAGAAAGAGAAATATTGATATAACTTGCTTATCAAGAATCAACTATTAGTTAATAACTTCAAGAATATAATTCTTTTCTGTCTATCTACAGACTGAAGCATAGTTCAGATTTCTTATTTTTACTAATTTTCTTTAGTTTACTGTACTTATCTTTGCATAAACTGTGATATACTTTATTTTCATATAATGAACGAGGATTCATTTTTCTATAAATTCAGTTATTTTCTAGTAGCTTAATACTGATATGTTTTAATCTGTGAAAAATATTGCGATCATTACAAGCAAGAATGTCAAACTCTAAAATCATTGATGAAGAAAACGATTCTCATAACAAGTGCGAACAAATCGCTCTAAAATATTTTTCTTTTTCAGAAAATATTTCAAAGAATGCTAATAGCTCGTTTTAGATACTTCATCCAAAAAACACATTTTTATTGTTTAACTGAATGTTTCAACAATCATCTACAATAGTTCGTCATAGTGTGTAACATTCGTGTGTTGCTGTACGTTCTTTATTTTTGTATCCAGGCAAATTGATCACTTTATCGAATACAATACGCAATAAAAAAAACAAATATGAATGGTGTGCACATGGTTCAAGAGAGAAAAAAACGTAAATCTTGTATAGCTATAGCGGAGAAAAAGAAAAAGAATCTATTTCAGACCATCCATAAGCGACGCTCAGGTAAGCGTGGTGGGGAGTGAAGTTCATCTGAGCTGAATTAATTTGGTCAGGAGTGGGCTGTGTGAATGACTCTTCTTGGTTTCATGATCTCGTTTCTACTGTATATATATATATGGATGATCGAATTCGATCATTTTGTGGTTTGAATGAAATGAACCAGCAACCCTTTGGAGAGCATGTACTGGAAAAGATCTTGAAGTGCTCAACGAACAAAAAAGTAAGCAAAAATTGACCATTCTTGTTATTTTCTAAATTTCAATTTCTTTTAGACAACCCCAGGTAAAGCATTACGGCTCCCAGAAACGGTCGTATACGGCCGTAAACGTTAACGTATACTGCCGTTTCTCACCGTAAACGGCCGTAACTTGACGTTTTGGTATGCACCGTATTACGGCCGTAATAATCGTGTCGTAAACGGCTACTAACGACCGTAATACGGTGCATACCAAACGGTCGTAAGTTGTGGTCAAACGGCCGTGTACGACACAAGTTGATCGACCTGGAACGTTTTGAAAAATATGGAATCACAAAAGGAGAATTTTACAACATTTGCTGCACATAGTGCTACTGGTACTGGCTCAACGAATAATTAATTAAACAAATGTTTTATTGTACATTATTAAAATAATAAAGATAGTTAATAAATAGTGATTTGCATATCAAGGAAAGCAATCACGAATATACTATTTTTGTTGTCTTTCACTATATTCGTGTACTATTCACACGTTTCTCTTTTCTCATATACGTATGTGCACGCCACTTATATTTATTTTTCTGTTGTCTATTGCATTCGATAGAATGATAGATATGCTGGAACATGAACAAAAGTCGATAGTACAATCAAAGGAATTCTGGTCAAATATTCTAATTTAAATTCAGGAAAAGGAATAAAATCTTGTAGCTGTAAAAGAGATGTTCGATAAAAATACTAGAAAAAGTGCATAACTTCATAAAAGACATAATCGAATTGTTCAGTCTTTTTTATTCAAATGTTCTACTTGATTTGAATAGTATATTAATATTTGATTCAATGTACCATTGGTCCATAACAAATAATAAAATATTGCTGAATGACTGCGTTGAATCTATCTGATAAGAAATAAGAGCAAGGATTACATCAATATAATTAGTACAAAGATTAAAATATAACAAATATGAACTGAACATTGGTATTGATGACTATGGAAAATAGATATATGATACATTGGAAGATCTCTTTCCATATCAAATGTTATTGATAATTTGAGTCATTTTATTTTAAATTGAAATCATTTGATATATTCAATTAAACTAAAAAAAAATGTCTAAATACAATTTACATTAATGAAGTTCAGCAAACAATAAAAACAAATATGCAATATAATTCCTGATTCATTTAATAAATGTTTTCATGCCATTTAATCAATCATTAAATAATTGTTTTGTGAAATAAAAAGATCCTAAAGCTAACTCGATAGATCATTCAATCACTTTATTGAAAACCGGCATAACTACTGCCCAACGCGTAGTTATGTGTGAGTCATCCTTTCTTTTTGTTTTTATCAAGTAGTCTTATTTTATCATGATTATCTTTATCGTCAATCTCAAATTGGCCACAGCTTCTCTATACGTATAACTATTAAATAAGTAAATCTACAAGCATTAAAGATTTGAAATTAAAAAAAAATATATTAAGTCTTTTTTAGAATCACTAGTTCTCGCTCTCATTCAATAAAATGATACTTCATCAGCACGAATTTGTTGCAAAAAATGCCCATGAAAATGATCAATCAGCTATTTGTTATAATATTCTTCTAATGAAAAATGTATACGTTTGAATTTAGCTTTTATAAATCATAAATAATTGCTTCTGTTGGCTCTGGAACAAACAGCATTTCTTGATTAAGTATCTAATCATTTTTTTAATATCTTTTTTTTATCATGTACATAACCAATTAAAAAGTAGCAAAGTGGTGAAACCAAAAGACCGTCATATGTGATTAGTTGGGTTATCCCATCTCATTGGTTTCATGAAACATGTGATCTAGTATATAATAAAGAGGTTCTCGAGCTCTTTAGTTGATTTTCATAACTTTCTTATTGTATCATCGTACGAATGAAAATCACCAACGGTTCAATAGCTTTTGGGCCGAGACTATACGCATTGTGCAACTCTATATTACCTATGGAAATACTAAGAAGAGCTCGAACCACTAGATTATTGTTAGGAAGATACTGAAATTTTATGGAATTTGAAATAAATAATTCCGCTATCCCCATCAGGAACTGCAGAAATTTGTTTTTCAAATTTTTATTTGAAACTTTATAAGTAAAGAGACGTTAACGACAATAATATTTGATAATAGTGTTAGACTCTGTGAGAAGCGTGTATCCTGAAATGAGAATATAAAATCCGCCGGTTTCTATGGGTGATCTACAAGATATGTTACTATTGAACTTGTATCTATGAACAGGAATAGCGATCAGAGAACATCACAGGACGAATTTTTACGTCATGCCATAGTGTAAAAGAAAACTATTCGATCTTCCTTTATGCATAACACCAGATATGACACGAAAAATTTCTTCTTCTAGGACATACTCTACAGGATGACTTCCCCCTTCTGCGTGCTTAAGTCTATATTACGATTTTATTTTTCTGAAGTATTTAAAAAGCTGTGCATATTGCGTGTCGCTAAATATTATTAAATTACTAATTATGTGAAAATCATTGGCAATGTCCCATTGAAATTAAAATTTATTAAACATACTCTGCAAGAAAAAAATGAAGACAAAAAGAGTACAGAATGTATTAAGAAGGAACCAAATTCAAAATAGAATCAATAGTAACAGATGGGAATGAGAAATCATAAGAATCTTTTTATATTATTAGTTCCTGAATTTCTCTGATAAACGAATAAATAACGTTATTGATTTAATTCGGTGAATGAATTTGTTCCTTTTTTTTTTGGATAAATTCCAATCGTGATAAGTTGAACGAACGTCCATGAAATACTCGGTAACGTTTAGATGTACACTTTTCTGCTAATATTGATGATAATGAAAATTTTAGCATTAGGCCGCAGTGTCTTTGATAACGTTCAACAAAATGACTTTGGTATATATACAGTGCTCCCCGAAGCTTCTAACACTGAGGAGGGGGGTGGGTGTAAAAAATACGCTTTTCAAGATATTGTGACTTTCATACAGATCCTATGGGGAGGTTTGAACATGAGGAGGCAGATAGTAAAGACGTTTTCTCAAGAAAATCTTGTGGTAAAAGATTCAAGTTTAGAAAAAAATGTTTCTTTTAAAGCTGTGGAACAATAAAAGCTTTTTGATTATACGGGGTAACCTTTTCACAAAAAATCTAGACTTTTCAGCACTAAAACCTCAAAAGTATCAGTGATGTTTTGAGAAAATACGTTTTGCAAAATCAATGAATTGCTATTATAATTACCCGAAGAAGTTCTTTTTTTACAATGAGTTTCTATTTTAAATGGAGAATTCATGAAATATTTTTGCCGTTATCTCATTGAATAATTGTTATTATTTTATTTGAAACACTCTGGAATAGAAATAAAAAAATAGGAAAGATTAGAAAAAAACGAATCGCACAATTAAAATTTTTTCTAAAATGTCTATCTGAATGTATATCTTATATATGGTACATCATCGATATCGTTTCCATCAAGATCTTCGCATGTCATATCGAGAGCTAGTGAACGAACATGGCTTGGAATTTTTGTATCTGTAACTGTTTCATAGATTTCACTAATTCTTAAAATAAAAATAAGTTGTTATTTTATAACTTCTCTATATAGTCAGAATCAACGCTTACTTTCGTTTCATATCATTAGCTCTGCTGGGTTGTCGCATAAAGTATGGATTAAAAAGAAGACATAATCCAGTTGAAAGCATAGTCACCACTAATTTGTGTTCTTTCTAAAAGAAAAATAAATCATGAATAAGAAAATTGCCTCTAGAATTCGTATTTCGTTTTGTACCTTAAAATAATCTATAAATTCTTCTAATGTTTTATCTCCTTGAACATCGAATCGATCCCATAATGTATATTCATGGTCGAGATACTACAATAATAACAAGAATTTTCAGTTTCATTAAGCATATTTTTTTTTCCCATACTTTTTGTTTTCTAGGTGGTACTGGTTCAGAAAATCCAAAGAATGGTAGAGCCAAATTAACAAAAGCATTTTTATATGATTCAATATTTTTATGACCTTGAAGAAATTTATAAACTTCAAGACAAACAAGTCCAGTCACCATGGCAGTTGTTGTTGCAATCGCAGGAATAATATTGCCGGCAATACGTTTAATTTTACCTCGATCAGCTGGCGAAATTTCATAATTTTCAGCTCGTAAGTTTGCTGTCGCCGCAATATAGTCAATGTGAAAGTTTGAATCATCATCTTTTTCAAATTCATGTGGTCGAATTTTTATACTACTTATTTCATCATGTTTCGGTAAATGACTAACTATTTCATTAATTCTGCAATCTTCAGTTGATTCTTTATCAACTAGTGAATTTTTTCGTTGTCTTTGTTCCATATCATTTTTTAGTTGTTCATCGTTTTCAAAAATAGTGACACCTACTTTGGGTTGAAATTCTGGTACTTGAATTTTTGCAACTTGTGCAGCAATGTATTCATTATCACGTAACTGTTCGATGTGATAGATATAAGCAAGAAGATTCGATGCAGCAACAATGAAATCCATATGAGTTTTATTGCTCTCATCAAACTGAAGTACATGTGGGCATCGTTTGTTTCTGCTCCAAAAACGTTCACCAGCAGTTGTAACGTGATCCAATGGGAAATTGTAAAGTAATTGAGCGATTGTATTATTAAATTGTTTTTCGAAGAGATTTCGAGCCTGAAAGAAAAATAATCCGTCTCTTATATTTTTCATTAAATGAATAAACAGTTCAACAACAAACCCATTTAATACAATCTAGAAAATCTTTTGGACGATCTTGACCAAGACTACGATTAACGTTTTCAATTATTTCATTTCTATCATATTCGGAATTATTTTTTGATATTCGTTGTACAAACTCTTTTGGTTCACGTTGATATTCATCAGCTTGTTGAGCTGGAATGGTGAACAAACCAGCGAAGTTATCGCGAGCCCATTGAATCGTATGTTCAATTAAATTAGGAAAATTATGTAAAAGACACATTGGAACCGATGGATCTGGTGGATCACGTGTTGATGAATAAGATTCAGTAACATGTGGTACGACAACTTGAACACTGGCTTTTGTGCCTAATGTACCACTATCAACTAATGGTTTTCGATAATACACACAACGACGATCCATATATTCACCTAGTTCGATGAAGAAAGCAAGTTTTATTTTAAGTTGAGCTCAGAAAATCACTCATAGGAACAAAGAGATCAAGTCTTATTCTCTTATTAATATTGAGTGAGTATTCTAACTATTTTATTAATCAGTTTGCCTCATATTTTGTTTGATTACACTATGCTCAACTTTCTATGAACGGAATACATTCTAATATATATGATAAAACTTACGCGCTTTCACGTTATCGAGTGCATTGACAACACCATTAAGTCTTTCAAAGAAGGCATCGTCATAAATATGTTCTGTTTCGGGTAGAACACCTTCAATGTATGAATGAATATTCATATTTGGATTCATCCTTTTGACTGAATCTGCTGCAGTTTTTGATTTCATTTGCTACAAAAAACAATTAAAGTAAATTTTTCAATCGAGAAAATTCGACAGTAAGAAGCCGTACGCCGATGTTCCATGAACGAAATAGAAATTGTCGATTTAGATTTGATTTTTCAATTGAATCCATGTCTGTTACATATATTGAACCTTCTTTGTCACAGCCTATGCCCATCATTGAAAAGTTCTTTAACATTTCGCATCCTATAGCACCGGCACCAACCTTTTTATGAACTAAATCAATAATTTGATTTTTTTTTAACAAAACTTCTTACCACGAAATATTTTGATTTACAGATTTTTTCTTGAAAATCAGTTCCAAAAACAATTTCTTGTGAATAATATCGAGTTTTATCTGATGGTAATACTGGTGTTGGAGTTGCATCAGATGGTTGAAATACATTTTCTGGTAAACACTCGATCGCATCAAAATAAACAAACTGTCGTATGGGCATAAATTTTCCTGTTACAGCCTTAAATAAAACGAACCATAATTGAATGTTCGATTTTTCGTAAAATTTTTACCTTCATAACTTCTTGGGCAGCTATCCCACCAATAACAGCCTGCATGGGACATAGATCGCCGGTACATATTTTTGAAAATAATTTTATCCAATGTTTATTTAAATCGTCTGTCAGTGGTTTCTCTCGGTTATGTGTGTTTAATTTTTCCACGATCTCATAAAAATTCTCAGCATCAACCTATAAATAGTTAGTTTAACAATTAGAAACGCGACGATACATGTGGCTGTGTTTTACGTACATCGTCCCATGGTTTTGGTGAAGCATTATATTTTTTTTCATATTCGGCTAGTGCTTGAAATGCCAAATGAAGATTCGAAGGCATAGACATTTTGGAAAAATCACAGAGCAATAAATCGGGATCGGCCAATGAATCAGAAAATGATTTCTAAATGAAAAAGAAAAACGCATACGAATTGTTTCCGAATTTCCTTGATCTTTTTTGAAAGCATAAATTTGCATGGTTGTTTTTCGAGTATGAAAAATACTTTGAAAGTATCGTGCTGGGAATATCTAATATTTTTTTTTACATAATTTTATTTTCCTTTGACTTACAAATGTCACTTCTTGTGGTGTTTTCACTTCAGTCACTGTTCCACCACCTTCATAGGCACCAAAAGCTCTTGTATCACCAATTGCAATTGTGTATGGACCTGGCGAAGAAGCAGAAAACTAATTGAATGCATCATGATTAATAATTACTGGGTACGGATATTTTGAATTCTTGATCGTTGATTTCAGTCATTCCTTTCACGCCATGAAATGTTACATATGAACCATCTTCAAAACCATGTCGCGTATCCGTTGACATGAACACTACGCCAACTTCATCCTAGAATACATAAAACAATAGAAACAACGGATCATCCTACTGTGAGATGCTAACCTGGGTAATTTCAACAACAATTTGTGTTGAAGGATTTTCACCATTTGTATCTATTACTTCGAATTTCTCACCAAAGTCACAAAAAATTTGCCTATGAAAAACGAAAAAAAAATTCTATTTCAACAAAGACAATGAATATCTATTTTACCCAAATAAGCCTTTGGTATTAGCAATAACTAATTTAATTCTATGCTCATGGCAATATTTCCCTACTTCGACTTGACGCTCAAACGTAGCATCAGTTAAAACATATACCTACAAATTCTATTTCAAATAGACAAATACATGACAAATAAAACTTACATTAATCTTATTTGCTTCTATAAATGTTTGGTCAATTAGTTTTGATTCGCATGCAACACGAACATAACTGTTTAATTCGGATAGTTTTTCAAAGGCAACTTCCGCACGATTTTTTCCTACATCAGATTCAGAGAAATAATACTAAAACGATAATTAGCAAAATAATTTTGGTTTAGATATTCAATGTAGATTTATTTTTACTTGTGAGGAAAGATCTTCAAATTGAACAGTATTACAATCATGAATAATTACGGTTCTAGCACCCGATAGAATAATATTTTTAGCAATTTCAACACCGAGACCGCGCATCCCTGAAATAAGAACATGAGCATGAGCTAATCGATTCATTGCTTCTTTGCCGATGACATAACTAAATAGGAATAATTTTTATCTTTATTTTAATTTAATTTAATTAGAAAAAAAATTACAGTTGTCTCGAATAAAGATTTTCGTCGATATCGGGACTAAGCAGTGATACTTGACGTTGCAGAGTAGGCGGCATTTTGTCTTGAGAATAGTTTATAAAAATTCTAAAATGCAGAACAACAACAACAACAACAACAACAACAAATATTTACGTGCTCTTCTGCTTAGTGAAAAATTCTTCAAAAATACTGCAGAAAACATGAAAATCGGATGAATATATATTGTTCGGTCAGATTCATCTTACTTATTTATTGAGCAAGTACGTCAAGAAGAAAATGTTGCTCTACTATTCTCGAAGAAAAAGTGAAAACGGGAGCACACCAACAGCTATTCTTCCTACTAAGTGTATGAATCATGCGAAAGAGAACGTGGCAAGTAGTCAACCAATAACGCAAGCTCACCACGGTTACTCGCTCGTTTATAATCAAAGGGTAGCTCGCCACTATTTTTTGCCGTTCTGCAGTGTGCCATTTGCCATTTCGATAATTTGTAGAGAATGAATACGATGTAGACAATTGACAAAAAAAAACGTGCATGTCTAGCGGGAAAAAAAGACTCCATCAACAATCACTTTTATTTTGTCGACGAAAACAAACATGAATTCTTTTTGTTTTTCACATCTAAACGTAATCGATTCTAGAAAAAGTCATGCATAACAAAATATTCTTCTTCGTCACGTCATGATGATTCAGTACTCTAGTAATATAATCATCTAAATGAATAAACATGAATATATTAAATTGCAATGTTTTTATTGACGAAAAATAATATTTTTCACATCTTTCTCTTCGTAATCAATTGCAATTGTGTTGAAACGAATATAAATAATGTCTTTCTACTGTCTCATGTATACTTTGTATGATGCTGAAGCAATTGTTTTTTAATGAGAAGCAATCAAATTGTATGATATAAGAATGATTTTTTTATTGAATATATAATTAGAGTTTATGTTGATATAATATCGCTTGCAGTACTGTAAATTCTTATCGGTGCACGGAGTACAGATTTTGTTTTTATTACGATTCTAGTATATTGCATATGAATCAATGAATCAGTTGCAGAGAAATATATTTAGATGATTTACATGGACGGAAACTTTTTATAGAATTTCCTAGGCCACACAGACCTGAAATTAGTGATAATGAGTTTCAAAGAAGTTTACTTCACATTAGACAATGGGAATTCAAGCTATGATAATATTGATATTACAGGGTGAAGTTACAAGCAATTATGAAAAGCCGATGTATGAAAAACGATCAAGTGAAAAAAAGAGTAATTATGTTTAAAACGATTCTTTGTAAAAATGAATAGAAAATCTTCACTCACATCCGCATCCGCTCATAAATTTCTATAGTCTGTAATTACACAGCGCATCTTATTTATGCATGCGATGAGATCAACAATTTTGTTGCTACATAACTGGTGATGAACTCTGTGTTTAATGTCGAAGGTAATCCGACATTTGATCAAAAAGAACACGTTATAATCTTTCTGTGCAATTTTCAGGACCACACAATCAACTCATGTTTATATTATGTTCGGAAAGTGTTCTCTTAGATATGCATTATGCGGCCTTTTTACATAGAATGACTTTTGGTCTGATAAGTTTTATGAAGGCATAACAAGAAAATCATTTATCAAACCGATCAAAGCAATGATAAATAATTTCACGTTTGTTATGAATTGGCATTTCAAACAAAACAAAAAGAGCACATGTAAATATATTTATTGATGGTAAAAATCAATCGTGTATGCAAACAACAGATAGAATAATTTACGTATTGACCGATAGATTGGAAATCAAATAATTCTTTTTATCGTCAAATTCAATGATCATTTTGACTTTAATTTCAAAAATTCCCATTTCGAAAAATTTCTTTAAAAACTAACTTAAACTATCTAGAAATGTGCACTGCACCAACAGACAGTAGCGAGGACTATGAAAATATTATTTAAAGAGATAAAAGCTAAGCCAAAACACGTCCATAGTAATGCTCGAACGTTTTGATTACTTTTCAATAAAGAACAATATTGAAAATCTTGATCACATGGAACGTCTACTGTAGAATATTGACTAAAAAATATTTTATTCCTAATGCTCACGGAGTAGAAAAAAAACTGAGCGAAAACTAATATCGGATTTGAATGTTGTGCAGCTCATTTATTAAATGTTCTCTATATAATATATTTGAAAAATAAGACATACTAAAACGATATCTCGATTGTTTGTTTCGATGAATTTCCACATCTAACACATTCATATGTTCAATATCGGCTAATCGTTTTTACATCAACCAATTTCATTTGATAGATTATTTTTCAGTTTACTACGTATAAGATTTTTCAATTCATTTTTTAGATGATCGTTTTTCAAAACTTTACAACAAAGAAAAAAGGCACTATTTCTGATATTCACGACATATTCATAGCCTTCCTATGAAGATGATGACATATGAAAAGCAGCACAGTTTTAAATACTGGCTTTGAAGGCAGAAAAACATTCCGTGACTAAATCACGCTGAAGAAATACTCATGTTTTTTGAATGTATATTACTCATGAAAAGATGACCCAGAAAAGTTATTTTGACGTCACTATTATAATAAAATGCTATTTTCAGAGTATGAAGTAGATCTTATATATAACCACTTAAATGCCATCGTTGATTTTAGTCGTAAACGAGCTAACTTCGGAAGTAGGCAGTGAAGTTCTAGACTTCCGTAAACTATCTAAGAATACGTCAAAGATGCAATATGAGAGAAAAAAATGTTTCAATCTCTTTTTCGGGACAGCAACTTAGTCGATCCGACGGTGATTCTGTCACACTTTTTGTACCGTAACCGAGATTCTTATAAAAGCCCATTAGTTCTGCGGAGAGAGCGAAAAGCATTAGCGTTAGAGCAATCATTTGTTGAATGGAAAAGTTTTTCTTTCGACTAAGGATAAATTACAACATATTCGCGTAACGAAATCATCATCATCACGAATAGGCTAATTTTTAACATTGAAATCTTTTTTCTCTCCACGAACAACGATATCTGGGTCTCTTGTTATGCTTAAAGAACCTAGTCAATATAGTTGTAAAACATGCAATTGGTTTTAAAAAAAGATCTTATTTATCTGCAGAGAAAATCACAAAGTAAAAATGCATGATACATATGCATGTTTATTGATGCTGAGTGATACTTGTTCTACATCGTGTTATCTTTGTTTATGGCTTTTAATGTTAAATGTAGATAAGCATGATTTTTATAGCCAAGTTTTATTTTTTAAATCACAAAAAGAAAATTGAAAATGGTGACGGTTTCAGTTTAATATATCTCATCCTTGATTTGCATCAATAGTTTTAATTGAATCACAACTAATAAGCGATCTACACTAACTCAAAAGCATTGTTATATTTTATAATGATTATTTTAAGAACAGAATATTTCCTATTCTGTAGTAAAAGCGTTTCAACGAGTTTTCTGTTTCTGTTTGAATACTATTGAATGTTATTTTTTCTTTTCAATCCGTATATTAAACTATATAGATAAAGAAATAGTAGAGCTTTTCTTCGATAAAAATTATACAATTCGCTTGCTGTTTAGATATAAAAAGTACTTACATTATAATCCTATATATCTTCAACGAATTTTCCTGTTTCAAATCACTTTTAGTATATCATAGACATTTGTGAGGGCTCATTTCATCTTCAATTCCTTCAAAGGTATATCGATCATCTCGATCTCGAGCGAAATAAACATCAACTTGTTGCTTCATAACATCATATTATTATGCACATTAAACAAAGTTTGACTGATAAAATCGATAACGATACTGTCATGTCAGTGACTGTGAATCACATTGTATTAGATAACTTGCTTTTACAAATGCTTGAAAAATAGCTATTTACCTTGACATAATAACCGAGAAAAATCCGGAGTAGAAAAAGCAAAACCATTATCAGCAATGTTTTGTTGATGATCATTTACCAGGAAAGAAAGAAAATACTGATTCACTGCCGCCTAGTGTTACAATTGGCAACTTATACACCTGCTTGGCTTCTGAATAGCAACAAAAAACATTTTAAAAAGAAAACAACGATGGTAATATTAGTCCATAATGAGAAGCAATCATAGAAAACTACACATCATGATATGATTGAAGTTCACAGCGCAAGAGATACCATTGTACAGTATCTTGTTTGAATGAACATAACCCCATGTCCCGTGTTGCCTGTTTCAGAAGAATCGTATGTTTCCGTGGTATTCTTACGCTCGAATTGTGTCTCCTTACTTCTCAATGTTTCAGACCTGTTCAGACAAAAAAATGTCGCCTCATATTATTGGGCCTTGGCATTTTCTTATGTTTAGTCGTAGTGAGACTTGTTCACCAATCATGAAACTCAATGGCACATCATTTAGAAAAAAAGGAGAGGGATTCATTGATAGAAATAAATCTCAAATAAGAAATACATAATACATTGATTCGAAACGTTTTAATACATATCAATAGCTATCTGGAAGTAAGTAATTAAAACTTATTTCAAATAACACTCCTATTTTCAGTCTTTTTATGAAAAGTATAAAGTTTGGCAAACGTCAGTTAACAAGTATGTAGGTTCGTTTTTCACACTAAGTTCAATTCGTAGGAGCCTAGGCCGATTCTGGAAAATGCTAAAAGCTCAACATGGAAGAATTCGATTGGAGAGTCGCTTGATTTTCTATGAGATTAATATGGGAGGTGTCAAATATCGAAAAAAACAATGCTAAGCGAAGAAAATCTGGAATTTCTTTCACCTAAACATTTTTATGGGTGAGCAAGGGTGAAAGTATTTTCTCTAAAGTTAGAGAAATCAATCCAACAGTCTCTAGATATTCGTAGCGAAAACACAACCTGTAGAATGTGTATGTAAATTTAACTTTACAGTAATAGAGTTGCTGTATATAGAGATGTAACGTAAGATGAAGCTGCGTGACGAATAAATGATAGCTGTGGTTTTAACTTATTTTTACTAAGGTATCTGGTGGGATAGGCAGAATAAAATATCACTGGAGATGCAAATTCATGCAAGCGGTCGAAACCGTCCCGGAATA